TTCATCCATGGATGTGCACGTCTTGCTTCATCGCGCTCTGCTAGGTTTCTATTCCAGTTGGTATTGGTCGCTAGTGACACTATCATTGAGAACCTTAGCAAGTACTAAACTAAAACACACTTCGTTGGATAAAAACTTAGAGAATTAATATACTCCTTAGGGCAAAAAATATTTAAAACGTTTATTATTTTTGTACGTTTTCGAACAAGCTCTTTTGAACTTGACGAGGTAAAGTGATGTTTTTGAAATGTTAGCTCTGGTAAACGGGTTTGGAAAATATAAAATGTATAGTAAAATAACATAAGCTTTAGTTCAGGGTCGCATGTCGAGGTCATACCAATACCAGTTGTTTTACGAGAGTCCTCAAATAAAGCCATAACTTGTTTAGTGTCATCAGTGAAATAATTAACCACATTCAATAGAATAGATAGGAAGAAAGTATCATTGTGCTCTTAATTGACAACAATACAAGAAGTACATAAGTCTCTTCGTTTTCCTAAATCATATCCACCGTGCATTCCGACATGCGCCGACGCATGCAAATGAAAACAATATCCATGTTGCTCATTTCATTTATCACTCTTCCATTGTCACTAGTACACACTCCACATTTAAGTTTCTCCTCAAACGTGTTTCAAATTGGAATAGAAAATATTTATTTCTAATAGACAGTATTCATGTAATTATGTGAGGCGTTTACTTGACCGTAACGAGGATAGTAGCAGATTAGAAAACTATATTAGAACACCTGAACCATATAATTTATATATTACGGTATGTTTATTAATCATATATTATCGAGTATTTTTTTGAACTGATCTATGTAGGTAGAGTGTATTGGTGAACATGTGTCTAAAATAATAGTTATTTTGATCTTTGCACTTAAGACTGGTTATTTACAAATTCACATTCATCTGTATAAGTTATAGTACACAGACAAACTACAAATTTTTAAACAATTTATGTCTATATGACAGTAATAAGTATAAAAAAATAGAACCACATCGGTAAGTGACAAAATGGGATTTGGTAAGCTAGAAAGTATAAGCAGCAATATAGTATATTGCTCAACATGGAAAGCCCTTTGACCTCGAATGTAGACAAAAGCATGAGTCACGAAACACAAAGAGCTTTCAACATGCAGAGTTCTGACGCAAAATTAGAACGTGTGTTTAACATACGTCCAGCCAGCGCTGTCGATTTGGTATAGATATAGAATAGAACACACAATAGAGAAAAGCTTGCCTCTAAACTACGTGTAATAATGCATTTGATAGAAATGTATATGGATTTAATACTATTTTTCCTATTTGGTATTGAACTCGATGTTTGTAAAAGTCTGAAATCAAAAATTCTGAAGTCAAGCAAAAATCTGACCAAAAAGTGCAACATCTGAGTCGATTAAGTACTCATCTAAATAAAACAATATAATATAAACCGTTTTCCAATAATTACTAATAGATAGTACCAAGATGTCCAAGTTGTCATTTGGTACTGACGTTAACACCATGTAGGAAGGAAATGAATGACGTTACGTGAAGAATATTGCCTCGGTAGATAGGTATGTACTACATTTTCGTTCGTTTTGAAAGAAGTAACTAAATACTGCCAAATTGCCATTCTTTATTCTAATTTCTAATAATTTGTGTTGAATTATCGTAATTATAAAATTTATATAATTGACATTTTCTTTTATTATTACAGTAAATATCTTATATATTTTAAAATGAGATTGTACAACTGACGAACAATTCACCACGGCTTTGCCGGTCTCATAAAAATAGACCTTATGAATATTCTATCTTGAAGGTTTTCTCTGTTTTAAACGGTTAACACTGTATTTACGTTACAGTCCTTACTGTGACATTAAGCTAAGTTTACACGGGGTCATTAACAGAGCAACAATAAAATAAAGGCAAGTCAGTGTTGACCTGGTATAAATTGAACCGTAGACTCGTAGAAACTGAGGACTACCACGACTACTGACTCTTGACATGACTGACCCCGTGTAAAGAGTGCGGAGTTTTGGTACCAATTGTGCGATTTGTAAAGGCACCGGACAACTAAATCTTCGGTGAGATTCAATTTTCGTATAATGTATAACTCGCAACCAGTGCTAGCGCCTCACTATCGAACACGGAGTGAATTAAACTAAGATAAGTGACAATTTGACGTTCATCGACCCAGCCATTATTTTTTTAATTTCATCTAAAACAGCATTTGCCTCATGGCTATTTGGCAATATACCATCTCAACCCCGTAACTTTTATTTGATTTTTTTAAATGAATATTGTAGATTAAACTATTTCATTAGGATATATTAACGTAGAATATTCTTTTGATTCCGTTTGTAGAATCATTAAACAAGATCAATTCGTATCTTCATATCTCAGATATTCCATCCCTTTGTCATTTCGAAACTCACTTCACTTCACTGATGTCACGAAACGTATAGAGAATACCAATTCAAGGTTAATCGGATTCGCTTTCGATGTGAATTCGGTCACCGGAGTGTATTCAAATTTACGTTGAGATTTTTACGGATTCGCTCAGCGGTGCTGACGCTGATTAATTAGCCGGTATAAACACCCCCTTACAAATAATAACTACATTATTTTAATTTAACATAATAGCACAGTTTAAATTCGGCACATTTGTTAATCGTAAAGTGCTCTATGGGAAAGCATTGATGTATATTAATAAATTAGGACTACCTTTCCGGTCAGAATTTTTAGAGTATAACAGCAACATCACTTTGGGTACCTACGTAATTCATTTAAAGTAATATTTTATCAGTCTTTTACAATAATTTAAATATTTCATGAAGATGTATTGAAATGGGATGTTCTATTGAAACGCTGCTTGATAAATGCCAATGGACCATAAAATTGTAAATTGTTTCATGGTGAGATGATATTTAAGAGATAATTTTTTTAGATCTGATAGAAATTCAATCCCAATTGAAAATTCAAAACGATAATAATTGGAACAAATTTTCATCCTAATCAAAAGTTAAAATATTTCTTTTGGCTGTTTTATGCCTGAACATTGATGAAAATACTATGCTTAATGAAAATAAATGCTCACTAGTAGCAAAAAGTAACAAGCGCTTGAAAAATTCATTAGTCATGTTTGATCCGGGATAGCTCAGTGGTTAAAACATTCGCTCAGATTGCGAAAGATCGTGGATTCGAGTGTCATGTTAGAGAAACTGGGTAGAAGCATTTTTCATTAAAAATATGATTATTAGTTAATTGCTTTAATTTATAAGCTTTATTCAACACATTTTTCATAAGATTTCTTAAATCTTTCATAAGAAGTTTTGTCTTTTAGTTCTATACCGTATCGTGTAACCAAAAAAATAGAAATACTCGAACGCAATATTTTCGGCACCAAAACCGAATACAAAAAGTGAAAACGAAGCCTAATACCAAATGAATACGCCAAAGGATTTTGATAATGAAGGAACAAAATTCATCATAACGTTATTTAATCGCTATTTAGATTTAAAAGAAGCTCTACTTGTTGATCAACATTACAAGAAGATTAATGATATTATTATCTCACTTTCTTAATTAACGAAGATTATGCTATTACGTGAATTCGCCGACCAGTAACTAGCAATGCAGGTCAAATATTACACTACTCTGATTCACATTACTTAACGTACGGAAACAAACGTGTAGGTTGTTAATTAGCAATTATAATTAAACGGACTTAACTAATGTATATTAGAAAAAAAAGTGAGCACTGACTAAATGTTCCGACTCATAAAACTAAATGTTTCTGAAAATACATTAAGTTAACATTTTACATATTTTAGCATTCAATTCCAATGCCGATAATAAATAGCGCTATAATTAATAATTATGAGGGCTATATGTAGATAAGATAATACTTATCAAAAATATTTCCATTAAAAGAATAATCTAAAAGAATAATCGAAATATATACCTAACTAAATACTGCTCAAATTATACAGTGCTATCTGTATCTATTTCAATGAATTGGTTGATGTTTTTTCCGATAATACCTAGTCTAGCCTTAAAGTTCTGTTACAAAGAAAATATTAAATAATTTCTAAAAACATAATTTTATTTTAAAGTTTTATATGTAATTGATTATGTAGAATGAAAAAAATATTTTAACTTACTAAACTAGTTATTCAAAGTGTCCACCTTTAGCTTTAACGCACGCTTTTAAACGGTCGGGCCATTCGTCGATGGATTTCTGATGGAAAATTGGTCACTGCTGCCTCCAAAGATTTTTGGAGCGACTTCATATTTAGATGACGCTTAGAACAGGCCTTGTTCTCTAGCACAGACCACAGTTCATAGTCCAAAGAGCTTAAGTCCAGACTAGCCGAAGGCCTGTGTATCTCCGGTAAGCCCCTAGATCTAAGTCTTGTTTGATAATCAGAGTGTCCTCGGGATAGGATTCCCATTTCTCTCGAAAGGATTTTCTGCTTCCTTATGGAATTTCGACGAATTCTGGCCTTGACTGCATTAACGGCCTGGTTTGTTCGGATAGACCGGAGTCTGCCGGATCTCTCAAGGTCATCAACATACATGGTTTCAGTGTACCTTTGGAGGGTACGATACACAAACATTCGGCTAATTCCTAGATTTTTCAATGTGTCAAAAATGTCGGCTGTCTCCTTACCTACTTTGTACAGTGCAATTACTGCAATCAATCTGCTCTTTAGTGCCCCACTCCATTTTCAAACCAAATAATTTCTAAACAAAAAACATACAATAATAGCGGGAAACTAGTAATTTTTTATCGTAGAAGCTAATCTTCGAAATTCAAATTAATGATTTTTTTATGTATGTGTAAACAGCCAGTAACAGAATTTATGGCTAGACTAGGTAAAACGTACCAACTTCTCTTTGTGCACTTTACCATTTTTTTGAATTTATGGATTTTGTACTATGCTATTTATTATAATAAGCATATTCCTTTCATTTATAAAACAACATAAACTGTATTTCTGTTTTCAGGCATCGACCATCGATGGACGACGGAAGGGCGCGTGCCTGTTTTGCCAAGAGTACTTTATGGATTTGTACTTGTTAGCGGAACTTAAAACAATCAGTCTAAAGGTAAGCCATGTTTTTTTAAACAACTGTACTTCTCATATCCTTTCACATCGAACTTGATGTTTTAGATGTCAAAGAGACTGTATACAGCTGTAAGACATGTCGTGTCCTAATATTAGCGACGAATCATTGAGAATTGAGCCTTAAATAATTCTCAACTTCATCAAGCTGAATATAGATATATTGAAAACAACAGATTGTTTGTATTTGTATTGAAAACGACATTATGTTACAATTAAATTATAAATTATAGATGAATTTCCAATAATTCCGATCAAGACGAAGAATTCAGTCAGAATATTATCATCATCATCATCATCATCATTTATTCCATAAAACAATATTCATTGTATCGGAAATTACAATATATAATCACAACAACAATAATAAGATCAAATTATAAAACGATAGAGTCTTCCATATCGTTGGTAATAGTTGGTGACATAGAGAATTTACATTGTCGCACTGTGTAACAGTTGCCAATTTAGGTTAATGTAGATTTTTCATTAGTCATTTGTCCTAGAGCGTAATTTTTTTTTTCTTAGTTGAAGTATTTAATCAAAGATTTTAAGAAGTGACTGAATTAATGTTTGTCGTATAATGTGCATTAGGGGTCATCCATAAATTACGTCACACGATTTTCATGATTTTTTGCGCCTCCCCCCGTCCTAGTCACAGCTGGTCACATTTGTAAGACTCCCCCTCCTAGTGTGATGTCACATATTTTGCAAGGTTTTTGTAAAGTTTTAATTTAAAGTTCGTGTTTTAACACTTAGATTATAATAAATTTTGAAATGTGATGTCACGAAGTTTCGAGATTTCGTCGACCCCCCACCCTCCCCCCTTAACGTATGACGTAATTTATGGATGGCCCCTTATTTTACTCGTTTGTAGGTAAGTATATAGTACAGGTTCCATCAAAATACCTATACAAGATATCTAGTTGACGTTGTAGTATCGATTGTAATCTTGCATGTGGTGTCGGTTTTTTAAACATCACTTTTTTAATACAGAATTTTTCAGAATTTGCCATTGGTATCGGCGATTAAAGTTATTTATCAAATTATCCAATCAATTGAGCATATCGAATGAGACCTGACAACGTGTTTTATTCAAAAATGTCCTCTTATACCTATAATTAACGTTTCGTTGTTCTATAAAACAATACACGCGTAAATATAACTATATTTAAAAAAAAAACTCGATCAGCAGCAAACTATATCGTCTTTGACACAGTCAATTGTATTTTCCTTGGCCTATCTCTGCCATGTTTGTAAATTAAATAGTTAAAAATGTCCCAAAATACCTTAGAATATAAATTATACCTACTATACAAATCACGTATGATACATGACTACATTAAACACATTTATAAAAAAAATCATTGCGTTGTAAGTTTGTGCCATTTCATAATGGCTCATAGTCTAGCATCACGCAGGGAGGTTACAGAATCACAAAGAGAAAGGCTACGCTTGTCTATCACGAGCTCGGAGACGTGACAACGGCGAAGGTTGCGACTATCCGACCGACGACGCCTGTACTTAAACTACTTAACATGTGGCTCCAAATTTGATATTTGACAGATCAATCACTGCCAGCAACGATCTACTACAACATAATATAATGAAACTGTTGGTCAATTTAATAGTTAACTAGTTAAAAATAAGCATTATAAAATTATTTAATCTTTCCTGAGGACATAACGATTGAAATGAGAATAATAAAAATAATTGTATTCAAATTTAAAAATATACTTAAATACGAGTTAAGTACTACTCGTACGAATTACCTGTCATTGTAAATTATTGGAAACTGCGTTTCTTTGGAATCGTATTAGCATTTTAAAAATTTATGTAATTTCGTTTTCGGACAAATAGAGTAAGGTCGTCAGGTATCATGTTAATTCGTACGAGTCCATAGAAGTTTGTGCTTTTTCCCTAATTTTAATAGAGTTGATATAATGGTACGAAATTAAATTAATGTCTTTTCATTATACTTATTTCTTTGTAAACTTTGTCAACATGTAAACTGGATAGACGTCATTAGCAAATGGCATCTTTACAATCCAATTAAAATTGTTTCGTGTTCAACTTTTCAATTAGTATCTTCAGTAGCATGCAGTAAATGTGTTTTAAATAGACTGTACATGTTACCAAGTGCAACTTATGACGTAAAGAGGACATTGAATGTGCAATATTATGCAACAGTTCAAATAAAAAAATGTTCTGGTCCATACTCTGAATTCTTTAAAAATAACCATTACTGCGCTATACAATATTGAATTACTTGCATGTATTCTTAATTTGCTTCGTAAATTTTGTTTAAATCTTTTTTAATTAATAACTAATTTTTCCGCTACATCGCTTACGTAAATTAAAGCTTATGTTACCAGCATATGCTGTAGCTTTCTCTAGGTGATTTTTTTTAAAATAGGTCCAGTAGTTTCGGGGTCTATTAAATGCAAAGAAACAAACAACCAAATCTTTCCTCTTTTTAATGATTATTCATGTAAAACTGAGACCGAGATAGCATTTTATTAAACGGATTACATATATATTTACCAGTGCTTACAATTTTATGTTGACATTTATATATAATACACGCTTTCTATTCAGAATAGGTGTAAATGTGGACAAACTGAACTTTAAAATACACTTTAGGTTCTTATTATATAGTTTTCCATTATTATGTTTCAGGTGACGACAGTTGACATGCAGAAGCCTCCGCCAGACTTCCGCACAAACTTCGAGGCGACGCACCCGCCCATACTGATCGACAACGGACTCGCGATACTCGAGAACGAGAAGATCGAACGGCACATCATGAAATCCGTACCAGGCGGGCACAATCTATTTGTACAGGTATACTCTTTATACCCATGTCTATAAAAGTTTAGCTACCGTATGTTTTTTTGCTGTAAAACTACCGTCTTAGTATAAAACGAAGACTGACTTTAGCACCAGGTTTAAACCATTGTCCGACCAAAATAACATCAAAATGTCTCAATATGACTTTTTCTCCTCTACTGTCGTTTTCTCTTGTATTGTCTATTTATATCCAAGTTCTCCTACGGATTTCTATGTCAATCTTAATAGTATTTTAAAGTAGTATTTAATAGTATAATATCAATATTTATGCGTAATCTTTAAAAATACTTTTGTCTTGTATTGTATAGGTAACGAAACTAAAAACACCAAAACCAACTTTAATCCATTACTCTCTTATTCATCTTGGTATTTGATTCACAGTATCTAAAATATTTGACTTACTTACAAAAAGCAAAGTTAACCTAAATGATTTTTAATAGAGAAATCAAACTTTATTATTTCTCTCGATGGCTTAAATGGTGTATAGTTCATTTATGTTCCTTAAGAAATTCACCAATCAAGCAAGCAAGCGAAAGATGTTCAGTTGTTTACCATTTATAATAAACTAAACAGCATCGTTTGATTCCAGGACAAAGAAGTAGCGTCATTGATAGAGAACCTGTATTCAAAATTGAAGTTGGTGTTAGTTCGTAAAGATGAACAGAAATCAGCAGCACTACGCGCGCACCTCGGACGTATCGACGCATTGCTCGAACGCAGAGGCACAAGGTATAGATTGTCAATATCATCAGAATATAGCTTTCTTAAGATAAGATATAAAGATGAAAGATTTGTTTGCTTTCATTGAATAAGCTCCAAAACTACTATACCAATTTTGAACTTCTGAGACGTACTGAGCCGTCGTGTTCCAAAATTGTGCGGTCTGACAAGTACATTTTTTTTATATTAAAAACAAATTTCTCACTTTTAGCTATTTTGAAACTCTTGTAATGTATTACCATTGTACGTATCCCTCCCATTGTATATATTTCAACCCGCTACTAGATGTGCCAGCACCTGACCTCTACGATGGGTGCTGAGTGATATATCAAGATATTGAAATATCAAAGTTTAGAACTCTTGCACATTTTGTCACTCTCTCTCCGTCTAAAATAACTTATGCCGGCGAGGTCGCGGCAAAACAGCTAGCTTCTTATGCGACAACGTGACATCCCGTGGGGTTAGCATGCATTGGATGCTAGCAGTATGGAGTAGAAAGCTGTTCATATTTATATTTTATGTGAATTTCAATTTTAAACATACATATATACCGGCCAAAATCGTAACACTCCTTTTCGCTTAGCTTTACTCGAATAAAAATGTACAGTCAATTGCAAGTCAGACTAAACTGTCTGATTTCCCCACTCGATTTTATACCATACAACATTGATAGAAGAGGTTAAAACCCATTGCAGAAATTTGAGATATAGTGGTAATTTAAAATGCGGCAGTGTGTACTTAAGCTTTTCTTTATGACTAGCATATCTGTGGACTTGAATACATGTTGAGAAGAGTCATTTTTGTCAATTAATCTATGATTTCTTGAAAACATTACCGATTGATATTCATTGTTGTTTATTTCAGATTCTTAACGGGTGACACGATGTGTTGTTTTGACTGTGAGCTGATGCCTCGACTACAGCACATCCGAGTCGCCGGCAAATATTTTGTTGACTTCGAAATACCGGTGAGATTTTTTTTACCAATGTGCAAATAAATTGTATGGTTTTTCGTACTATTTCTTTTGAATAATACTTTTCGTATTACTCGTATATATGTATTCTCTTTATAATAAAAATAAACATTTATTTCAGAAAAAAATATTGTTAGTGGTCTGTACCTAAAGGGTAAAGGGTACCTAAGGGGACCCTATTACTTAGACTTTGCTCTCTGTCCATCTGTCTGTCAGTCCGTCCGTCTGTCACCAGGCATGTACGTATCTCATGAGTCGTAATAGACAGTTGAAATTTGACAGATGATCTATTTCTATTGCCGCTATAACAACAAATACTAAAAAATAGAATAAAATTAATATTTAAGGGGAACGTAGGAGCGCCACGCGATTTTTTTGCTCGATTTTTTCATCTTCATCTTTAACAGTGCGAATTAAGATTAAGTTAGACTATCATCTATTGATTGTTTCCTCAAAGAAATTTACCGCTCATCTCTTTCGTACAGCTGTCTTCGTACTTACTAACCCTATAAATGTATAGAAATGCAACAAACTGTGTACTCGATGACTCGATTTGAACGCGCCTTAAAGTGAACTGTCAACGAAACAGCCTTACTCTATTTATAACTTAACGACGACGTTAGTGTTGTCAAATTGTCGGCAATTTACTATCGATAAGCAATACAACAGTGATTTACAAAACTTATCTAATTTTGTACGCAGACGAGTTTCCGCGCGCTCTGGCGCTACATGTACCACATGTATCAGCTGGACGCATTCACACAGAGCTGCCCCGCCGACCAGGACATCATCAATCACTACAAACTACAGCAGGTATTTACACATCTAATATAAATAATTATTTCAATACTTATTTTACATAATTTGCCATTATGCCGTATTAATTATAGTCAAAATGATATTTCGTCCCACAAAGGAGTATAGAGCGAATATAATTCGTATAATAAATTTTCGTTTTAAATCAAATTTTCTTCACCATTACGGTCACTAGGCATAATAAAAGAAATTAGTAATTTAACATAATAAATATATTGCGTAAGTAGTCTACAGTGAATAGACAAGAAAACTTTTTTCTTGGATTGTTGGAGCTGTAATAAAAAGGGTAAGTTGTATGAAATGTGGGTACTGTATTTTGAACGGTGGCTTCCTTCAGTTGGCAGCGGGCGCAGCCCTGAGGAGTGCCCCCCGTCCCCCCGCGCGACCACCTCCGGTACGTCCGTGTGGACCAATAACCCTCAAAGTATTTACTCAATGCATCCGACCGATCTTAAATCTTATAAGAATCCGGTTAATAACAGTCCTAAGTGGTCTTATTTAAGTCATTGTAATGTAAAAAGAGCTCTGAGTAATAAGCGTAAGTTTTAACGTAAAATGCGTTCACTAATGAGTGCGTTCAGAATTTGTATGTAGATTCGTAGTTCTTGGTAGTCACCGAAAGGGGCGCTGTACCGAATGCCATACTAAAATCTTAACGCTCTCGCGATCGACGGTGACCATGAACGTCAAAAAACTTACATTAAGGAAATTGGTTTGATATTACCACAAATGATTAATACTAAAATTACGCAATTACTATAACAAGATTTAATTTTGACTGGAATGTGAACATCATGCTATAATAAAAAATTATTTATAATTGCGGCATATCCATTATAAGACAATCCGAATTATTTTCATTTGTTTGTTTTTTTATTACTTCTTCATAATGTGTGTTATATTTTGGCGTATTTCTAATTGTGTTTTCACAAAGCCTGTCCCACCAGAAATAAAATAAGCGCTGATTAGATCAACCGATAAGGGACATTTTTTTCCTTTTGTCCCTTATTATTTTATGTCTGAAATAAATGATTTTTATCTTTTTCTTTTCTAAAGATTAATATATAATTTCCATTAAATCAGTTTCCAAACCGTTAACGCTCAGAGTTCGTTTTATATCACAATAGCAGCAGCATTTATATGTGGACTAATAGATCTAAATTGCATTGTCTCCTCTTATGGTCAGTGCAAATCTGACGAAGGATCCGTCAAGCGTCTCACCAGAGTTGCAACCTACCTGTCCAAAAGTTCCTATTTCAATGATGTTGTCCCGTGGTTCACTTTAAGTTATGGTTCATCACCTATGGTTCATTCATAATTATTGCTGAGGTGAATGCTTTTCAACAAGCAGGCCTTATATCTAATTGTTAACTTGATTAAATTAATAATACAAAAAAATATATATTTTCCGCAGACTTTTGATGATAATAAGAATCAATATTTTGCACTTCCCTGCAATTCTGTAAAAATCCAAACCCAAATTCGAATTCACTAATCCGTGTCCGCGGTGTCCGAATCTACTTCAAAAAGAGACATCCGCTCAATCTTGAATTGGTAATAACGTTTCGTGGCATAAGTGAAGTGAGTTTCGAAATGACATAGGAATGGAATATCGGACACACGTCTAATAGGGAATATGCATATTTTTGGAAAATGTTTTTGTATGATAATTTACATCGATAAATAACTGCAAAAAAATACCCGGTACCGTAAAACTAAAATTTTGTAACTTTAATAATTGATGAAAATAAGTAACAGCTACGAGCAGTTTAAACACCGGAATTTTTGGCGCGCTCGTCGTGACGTCAGAGTACACGACTAGGGATATGTCGTTTTAAATCAAGATGGATTTTGAGTGAATAATTATTAATATTTAATTACCCAAATCGATTAACAACTTATCGATTTTCTAAAGTATTATAGACTTTTTTAATAAATCCTATAGTTTACCAAATTTATGAAATAAAAATAAGAGCCTAAAACATAATTCAAATTGTAATCTATTATTTTGCGACATTATACTTCGATGCTATTGCATCGATGTTAACTTTTTGAAACAACGACATCCCTATACGTGTACATTTTCGTCACATCCGCTCTGACAAGTAGCATGGCGTTTGAATATTTTGAAGTTACCGCATTCTTTTTGCATTTTTTAATAATTATTTTTAAAATGAAAACGAATTTATGTTATAAAATATTAGCATAGACTTTATTCTTAAGCAATAATGATCTTAATAAAATATATTTAACCCTTTTTTGAATCAGACGCATATTCCTTGTTAATCATTTTGGTTTTGTATTTTTATACAAAGTATTGAATCAATAGAATTTCTTCACTAAATGAAATTAATTCGGACACATGAGTGAATTTGAATTCGGGTTCGTATTATTACAGAATCGCTCTGCTGCACTTCTATTACTTCTGATGACCATTTGAATGTCCCAAATATTGTTTCCAAACCCTGTTCTCACGGAAGTATTAGTTAGTACGTAACGTAACGTGGAGTGTGTAAAGTTGAATTTCATATATTTATCAATTATACTTTCTACTTACTTTCCTCGATGCATCTTCCGTCAGATATGCACAACTTCATCTGTTTTAGTCCGCGATTATGATCTTATGTTTGGTTCATCTTCTTGGATACCGATCAGATGCACTGCGTGAAATTATCATCTCATTATACATATCCCCTTAAAGTTTTATCACATCATTTATTTGTAATTATATTTTATCATTAATTCGTTCATAAACCATAAGATGAAACGCATTTTGGAGCTTATTAAAATTGGTCAGTCATTGTCTGTCATCGATTTATCGATAAATATATGCGTCAAAAACGTTTTATCGATTAAATAAATTTGACAGATTTCATAACTTTAATAGCTATATAATGCACATATGATGTGTAGTTTTTGATACATTTTTTATTTATATGTCACAGCCAACTGGTTAAATAAATTAGTCGTTCAATGGGACGGCTATCCCTTTAATTGAATGGCGTCAATTAATTTTATGACTAGTTTATGTATTTTATAGGCCGACGTAACGTTCATTTCGTATATACCTTTGTCATCTCGGCGCTTGTTTCGTTTTGTTTACAAATTGATGTCAGTCAACAGCCGGTGTGTGTCTATTATTTAACCATTTTGCATTGTCTTAGCTGCGAAAGAAGACAAAATATATTATTAATGAGTTAGGTTGCGGGTTATGTTAGTAATGTCTACGGTACGAATTATTCGTCAGACTTTAATATTCAGGATTACCCTGCTTTTCAATTAAAGGCCTAGCCGTCCAATACAATGGCCATTTTAACCCATTGGCTAGGACAAATACATTACATTTTAAGGTTAATGTTATCATATATTTTTATTAAACTGTCTACGTTGTATTTTATAATAATAAAAAGTAAGTCACCACAAAATAACAAATTTATCACAACCGATTGGAAACATCTAAGTTTTGTTAAATTAATCTAATGTCATGTTCACGGTAGGTGCATAATGTTTTATTAAACTCGTGTGAAGTGTCTCGTTAATAAAATTGATTAACTTAAGGAACTTAACAATATACTTACATGTATAACCGAACAATAATTTAAAGATCTTTAATATATCATAGAAAAAGAAAGTACTAAAAACACTATAACAATATCTTTTCTTTTTGTTGCATACTGATACGGAGTTACCTAGCTATAATGATTCACGTATAAGCTTATAGTGCTGTTTCTAGATTGTGTTAATATTTTAGTTTTGTTTTGTACGACTGTTCGTGGAAAAGGAATGCTTAGCTATTTGGAAAATGACGAGTTCGAAAACTATATGATAGTTCATTACGCGTATGTTATTCGTATTCTTTTTGCTCAATGGAATTATAGTCAAATAACTCATAGTTGCCGATTTTGTACGGTAGTATTTTCAACATAACAACAACATTATGAGAGAGATGTGCCACGCGTGTTGCTATAAATCAAATTTCAAAGGGTCTCAAGTATTAAACTGACGCTTTTTTTACTTTAAGACGCAACATCTAATTTGTATCTCGACAAATCAAGGTGACTAGTAAATTGCTGAACATTCCTACTCTATGATTTTGACCGACATTAAAAATATATTATTTAGTGTAAAAATTTAGTAGTTACAAAAGCTAAATTATTACAGAAATGTATTTTGAATAAACTCGCTCCCTACTTTAGGTAACAATACATTTTCATATTAAGAAATTTCATCTGTGCCTTAAACTTTTTTTAAAAGTAACGTTATACTGTAACACTCGTATCTATAGGCGAGAGAAGTAATTACCTACTTTAGAAAATGACATAACGAAACGAGATTTTGAATGAATTAAGAATTGTTAATAGCTAATTCTAATAGTATTCTGACTATTTACAGTTCTTACTTCATTCAAATCCTTTTCAATTTGGTACAAATATCTGCTTAAGTTATGACATAGTCTTATATATTTTTTTGACTATAGACACAGAGGTAAAAGTTCAAATCTCAAACGTATATTTTACGTTTACAGGCCCTGAAAATGAAGAAACACGAAGAGCTGGAAACGCCCACTTTCACAACTTCTATCCCAATCGACGTAAGCGACGTGAACAATGCCGAGTAAGCCATGCACTTTAGCCCTATGTGGAGCGAAACTGAGCCTTGGTACAACATACATTAGGCGAGAAATTGATAATCCACCGTGTAGTTTAGCATAGAACAAACTTTTTATGTTGCATTTCTTATATTGCTAAAGTTTATCTTTTATGGCCATCCATACACAAGTCATAATAATAATTTTGAATCCTACTTAGAAGGGATATAAAAAAAACTCAATTTTGAACAAGATTTTGAAATTACTTTCAGCATTTACATAGTTTTCCGATTTGAGGTTTATCAAAGATTATACAGCCTATTAAAGCTTTTTTGTACCGAGGATCTTTTTTCCTATATATTGTGCTCAGTGTGATATCCCCTCCTACTCGCCCCATCCTAAATCAGAAAGAGACTCTAATATATTTTTGTAAATGTAGCCTTTTAATGTTGAATAAACTGTAACTTAGGATGTATGTACGGTGCAATGAAAATGTTATAACACAAGGTAAATTTGTGATTCGTTTGCGAAGCAATATTTGTTCATTATTTAAAGGTTAAAACTTCTGCGAATTTGTTTAATTTTTGTTAAGTATAACAATTATAATCTACTTACCATTTGGGCGAAAAATAGCATTAAAACATGTTATCATTTCGAACAACTGATAGTTTATGTTTTAAATGCTTAAATAAAATAACAAAATATAAACAAATCTTAGACAGGTCTGAATCGTGATTTTATCATTCTAATTTCATATATTTATCGTTTGTGATGTGTCTACTGACTAAACTAAAATTTTTGAGATGAACGCGCTTCATACCTGATGAAAAAAATATTTTATTGATTGAATAGCGTGCATGGAAGTTCGAGAAAGTGACTAAATGTTGGTTTTGCCCTTTTAGATAGAATCTTATCTGATTATGGGCAATGTTGGAATTATGTATGCGAGTTAAATGTGTTAGTGGCCATTACTTTGGAAAAAATAATGTTGATAACTGTATTTTTTTATTATTAATGTATTTATTATTGTCGCATCACTATATCGTACCCGGCAGAGGTGCTGAACAAACTATATGAACGTTTGCAAGAAAACTGACAAATTGTAACGATTTCGCAGTGTACCTTTTACAGTAAAACAAAAAACAACCATGATGTATTAGTATTTAGAATAGTTTCATTGTTCAAACAACGAATAGGCGATCAGTAATTATGTGTTATATTCACAATAGATATAAGCTTGGTTTACAGTATTCATTTTTATTGTTCTTTTTTGGACCTCTTTTAATTTAGTATTTAGGTTAGTGATAGGAACAATTTCACCGCCATTTTGTTTTAATGCCTCTGCCTTTATTTATAACGACCGTATATTCAAAAATTACAATTATTTATATTTAATATTAATATCAGTTGAGAAGTATTTTGATAGTGCTCTTACCTGCCTTGAGGTTACCTTTTAAAGGTAGAATTACTATAAGTACTTATTTTCTTCGTTACTATGTTATTTACTGTTTTAAAATTAATATTTGTGAGGAATACAATATAATGATACGATGTGAGGCTTTAAGTTGGACCACCTATACAAGTGTAGAAGTTTTTGCAATTTCTATATTTCGTGAGTTTATATTTTCGACATCATTATGCGATATTGGAGAAGTATTAATATATATGTATCACATAGTATACACAGTACACACAATAGAGACGAGGGCTAGAGACGATCAACATGTCGATTGGAAATGTATAAAATATTAAATAGATTTTAATGTACCTAAATGTTAAGAAATAAACCTGGATGAATATTATTATTTTTTGTTTGTTTTATTTTCTGTTCTTATAATTTTTTTGGGTTATTTTGATAATTTTTGTTCGATTTGCTACTATTTCCTGTAAAAACAGAAAAAATCGAAAGCACACTCGGGTGCTATACGGCCGTTTTCTGATTGAGAAAAGCACAAAATCTCAACTGATTATTCTCAACAATTTAAGTTTCATATGGCAAAAAGTCCTAGTTTTATTTAAATTGCTATCAACTGATCATTTAAATATTTTAAATCAGTAATGAAAACCTGTTTAATTGACGTTTAAAATGGCTTAAGCACGGTTTGAGACGTGTTCAACTTTAAATTCTCAATTCAGAAACCGGGCGATAGTTATTTAAATTTTACAATTTCTATTTTAAAGTTGCGTGCAGGAGATATGAAAAACTTGAGAGGAAACGTATTTTTAAAACACTTTTATCTTATTTTGTTTTTGTACTAAAAGTTAAAATAGGTACTTTTTAAATTGTGTAAAAGATAGGATAATCATTCGAGGATATGATAGTTACAGTAGTGTTGGATTGCTTTTATACCTTATGTGTTAGATGATATATATGATAGATAATAAATTAAATGGTGTCATTTTCCAGTTCAATCATGTCTTTCAAATTATTAAATTTTTATAAAGAGGATGGCTGATATTAAAGCCGGCGTAATAAGCCTAGCTTGATAAGTCGGATTGAACGGCTATTTTAACCAGTTGGCTGCCTGCGAGATATATAATGTGCTTTCAATAATCTTTATGACACTATATTTTATTATATGCTTAGGTGCTTTAGGTATATAGGATCTATCCTAGGGTGCTTTGCTTATGATATAATCGATACTTTTCGACCAAAATATGTATTATCCGTGATTCGGGAAGTACTTTAGACCTTTAATCTGCATTAACCTTGCATCTGCATTGACCTTTAATCTGTCAGCGTGTACCGTTTGGCTCTGTAAGACTTTAAGACAACGGTTATAGACTGATTATTGTAAATAAAGAACAAGACTGTTCTAACTCTGCCATTATTTTAAATATGTAACGGCTTACAAATACCATGGCGTAAGTATATAACATAAATTGCTGATAAATCCTAAATTCCACGAAATTAACATCTGAATTTAATACTGCCAAACTACCAGTATGTAAATCTTTTGCTAAAACGCCATTGCTATCGAGAAAAAAATAAAGGAAAATGTTAAATCGTAAATATTTTTTATCTGTTCACAGTAGAAGTACAAAAACAATATCAGATTATGGGTAATTTAGATACTTATTCGAATTTCAAATAAAGACCTTACCCATACCCGGCGTAAGTAATCTGTCATTTTTTTTGGGGTAGTCGGAGTTTTAGTCAATTGCTTAAAATGACATAAATTATTGAAAACTGTGTATGAAAAACATGATGAGACAAAATAGGGGTTCCTGACACATTGTGCAATGTCCACTAGAGGTAAATCGAGCCTAGTCTATAGGTATGTTTCGCCGCAGATTTGGCTCTGGCTCGACTCGGTTCGACACGTCGCTAATAGACGCGGTTCCATAGTAAATGTATAGGAGGTGAATTATTGTGATTTCATTCGGCTCGACTGGACGCGTGTAGTGGAGCGTCTGGAGGTTTTGACCTCAGTTTTTTAAACAGTAAATGAATTTATACGTTCGAGGTAAAATTTTTCAAATTCCAAGCAACTTGTTTTATTTATAGTTTTTTCTGAAAGTCTACTCTTTTCGATTTATTCTCTAGTGAAAGTGTAAATTTTTGAGAATAGGTATGCTTTTACAGACGTTTTTCGCTTTACTCTTAAGGATTCTCGTATTAAAATAATACTCATAGTTAAAGTATGGCTTATAAAGAAACAAAATTATAGCTGGTTTATGGCTACTGTAGACTCGTTTAACTTTTTTATATTTACTATTTTTAAATAAGGAATTACATTGATAACTATCAAAATCAAGGTTTTTAAGTTTGCTTTAGGCATGTATTCCACTATATGTACATATCTATAGAGCTTTTGTTAGAAAGTGAAAAATATCGCGATTGGGTTCAATTGTAGCTGTAATCGTAGACTCTAAGGTCTTCGCATATTACACCAACTCAACTCTCAGTATTGCATTGACGCTAAGTCGTCCACTGGTGACCGATGCATTAAGCCCCTCGATGATACTGAATCGATAGATCTAGTTGGATGGATACTGGCATTGAATTGGTGTAATGTGCGAGGATCTTTAATTGCACGGAAAAACCTCGCACATATGTTTGCATCGAAAGAGTCAACCGAACGGAAAAACTTCCCCAAGTTATATATTACCGAATCGTTGCCTGCGCTTAAGTTGCACGTATTGGGGTGTAATTGTATTGCCAAAACCATGATATAATTTATAAATACATTTTTTGTTTAAGTTTTGTATAAAATATATTCTGTGCTGAAATGTGATATATCTGCCTGTAATAATGTACAATTTTCTACCAATTAATAAAAAAATGCTTGAAATATATATACACCTAGTTTTTATTAGTTTTCACATTTTACATTTTTTTCTTGTTACATGGACCGCCATTTTATGATGAAGTGTGAAGATCTATTTTCTGTTTTAGCCACTCGTTGTGATACACATCTTTAGACAAAGTGCAAGTTAAAAAAGCGTGGGTAACATAAGCAGTGATGCCACAAATCTTGTATTCATCTGCGATGAATACTGGTAAGAGCAAACCGTTACTATACTGGGTGTAGTATTGGTTTTGAGGGTTACAAAAGACTTGTATAGGGACGGTGAAAGCTTCTGCAACTTTATCAATATTTATGTTCATGTCCGAAGATTTCAATTCAGGAATTACGCCGATAACTGGGTTGATCATATACTCATTAGTGCGGCTAGGGATAGGAGGCCCTTGACCCCAAATGTTTATTTTGTCCGGTACAATTCCCAGTGCCTCTCGTGTCTCCCTAAGAGCAGTTTGAATGGCGGTTTCTCTCGGGTCGCACTTGCCGCCGGGAAAGGATATATAGCCAGTGTTGAGACGCATACTATTCGATGGCATTGTGTACAGCAACGAAGGAATCCCATTGACTCTACAGAGTGGCACTAGTATTGCCGCTGTAGCCTTTGCTGGCTTTTCCTGTGTTGGGAGAGGTATCAAAGTCCTCATTTTCGCCATACACCTATCACGACACGCCAATGAAAATATGTGCTGTATGGTAAAAGTCGCCATCGATAAATAAAATATTAAGTAGCTTGAAAGGTAGTATAGTAATTACATAATTCCGCTCAGATTTGTGCTCTTGTGTGAGTTGTTTTACTTGTATAATTTTCTATAAGCATATTATGTACAGTGTTAAAATAAGATGCCATTTTTCAAGAAAAGACATGTCAGACACAACGTAGTGTTTTAATAATCTTTGATAAATACTTTTTGGTATCCAAGAAGATTTGATATTATAATAGTATCATATAGTTTCAATGTTGTAAGCTTGGTTGTTGGTTGTAAATGGGGCATCCCATCAAGATCAAGAACTTTATATACCTAAAAGAAAATATAAAGATATCTAAACTTATTAGGTTAAACTCACTATTAGAATGGATGGTGTTGACGGTAGCATAGAAACACTGTAGAAAATCAATGATTGTCGGTTGATAATATTAGAACAGGATAAATAAAACAACGAACACCAACATTTTAGTGAGTTTTTGGCGGGAGTCGAATTTTGTTTGGGAAAGTGATGGCATGATGGCGTGTGGTGTGTTGAGAAAAAAAAGGTGTTATTTTACTAGACAGACAAGTGTCATAAAAATGAATAGTTTAGCACTCTAAAGCAAACTGATCGTCTCTTCTCTGTAGGTAAACAAATCCAGAAAGGATTGACTCTCTGAGATTGGCTCAAAAACTCCTTAGAAGATAAGAATCATCGAATACTAACAAACTTTTAAGGTTCTCATAAAAACAAAAAAATCTATTAGGATGAATTAGGCTGTGTGATCTAAGATCCCTTTGTTATAAAGAAATTTCAATGTCATATCACTAAGAAACTGTCAACCCAAGATTTGGCTGTATGGCTTAGTTCCTTCGCCTGTCCCATGGATTCGCGCGGGAACCTTGAATACGTTTAGGCGCCTTTTCTTATTTGCGAATTTTTATTTTGTATATTTTTGTAATATAGTGTGTAAATACTAGCCTGTTTATACAAATAGAGAGTTGTACATATTATAAATATGGGGAAGGCGAAAAAACGTCGTAAACCGGAAAATCCTCCTGATGATAAAAACGTTTCATCGTCTTCATTGTCGTCTTCGTCCGATACAGAAGATGATGATATTATAGGAAAAAAATATGATATCTTCAAAGTCCCCGGATATAGCCGGAAATATTTGGAAGATTCAAAAAAATCTGAATTTATTGTTTTCTTGTCCCGAAAAGATGGACTTAACTTCAATGATAAAGACCGACTTGCATTATCTAATGCTCTAAGGAAAAATTGCGTCTCGGGTGTCCTACACCTAAAAGCAATAAATAAATTCAAAATTGGTATCACATTTGATGTATCCAACAACGCAAATGTTTTTTTACAAAATAAAAAATTACTAGACGAACTAAACTTTAACGCTGCAATTCCAGCAGCCGATACAGAAGTTACAGGGGTGTTAAGATCTGTTCCTACTGACTTATCTAATAAAAAAATTTTTTCGTTAATAGGCAGCTCCCGAAATGTCATTCAAGTGAGGCGATTTATGCGACGTGTACGAGGTGATGATGGCTCGGTGCGGTTTCTTCCTACGCAGACCGTAGCTGTTACATTTGCCTCCACTCAACTTCCAGAATTTGTATACTTAGATTCTTGGCGTCACGAGGTCAGTCAGTTCATTCCTCCTGTTAAGCAGTGTCTACGCTGCTTGAAATATGGACATATAGCCAAATTTTGTAAGAATGCCGAAATCTGTTCTATATGCACTGGTAACCACAACTACAAAGCTTGCAACGTTAAATCTGATAACGCTAAGTGTGTCAATTGTAGTGGGAATCATATCGCCATTTCAAATAATTGCCCCATTAAAAAACAAAAAATCGAAGAAAATAAAATCAAGGCTCACTCTGTAAAATATTCAGATGTTTTAAGGGAGCAAGCATTTCCACAATTACACGCAAAAAACATAGATACCCAACTTCAAAACTTAGTGAAATCAGACAAATTTATGAATATGATAACTGAAATTGTCACAAATATTATTATTACTAATAAGGACCAAAATGTGCCTATTAACTCCAGTTTTATTCGAGATGTATTTAATAAAACTTTAAGCAAAAAAGCTACCTTAACTCAATAATGGTTAATACCTTAAATATAGTTCATTGGAATGCCCAGAGCCTAGGTTGCAATAGGCTTGCCCTATCACAATTTTTATTTGAACAAAATATTCATGTAGCTTTAATATCAGAAACATGGCTAAGGCCAGAACAATCATTTAATATGAAATACTACAACATTGAACGTAATGATTCTGGTAACAAACATAATGGTGTTGCTATTCTTATCCATAAAAGCTTAACATATAACAAAATAACTACATATTATGACAATTCTTTACAAAATATATGCATACGTTTAACTGTAAATAATAGAGAACTTAGTTTAGTAAGCTTTTATTCTCCACTCCAATGTACTCCTAGGTTCGATAAAAATAAGTTTGAAACTTTAATTAAATCTATTCCACAGCCTATGATTTTTGGTGGCGATTTTAACGCTCACCATACTTCATGGGGATGTGGTTCGGACTCGATTCGTGGCAGAGAGGTCTTAGAAGTGATTGACAATAACAATCTTGTTTTGTTGAATGATGGTCAGGTTACAACAGTTGGTTCTATGTCTTGGCGTCCGAATGCTCTGGATCTATCTATAGTTTCTCCGTCGTTAGCTCTTTCATGTGATTGGTCTGTACACGATGATCCTCTTGGCAGTTATCATCTCCCTGTAATTATCAAAGTTCTTGTTAGAAAAAAAGGCAACAAAAGTTCTGATTCACATAATAATAGTATACATTTGCCCATCCACCCTAATTTTAAGATGGTTGATTGGAAAATGTATACCCAAAATGTAGAGTCCCTTTTAACAGACTGCAAATTAGAGAATTATACACCAATTGAAGCTTACTCTGCATTTTGTAAAATAATTAATTTAGCTATAGTAAGGTCGCTTCCACTTAGCAATTCTGCATCTATCAAAAATAGTAACAATACTAGGAAATCACGAGCTTTGCCCTGGTGGAACAAAAAATGTTTAGAAGCAGTTCAGAAATCCAAATTGTCGTATGTTAATTTTAAAAATAATCCTTCTGCTGAAACATATATAGAGTTCAAAAGATTACAAGCTTTAAAAAAACTTACCTTGAAAACTGAGAGAAACAATAGTTGGATTGATTTGTGTAATTCTTTTAATCGTTGTACCCCCTTGTCTCGAATTTGGAAATTAATGCGTAAATTTAACAAAACATATTCTTTCAGTAATAATAATAATGATGATTGGATTCCAGAATTTTTACAGAAATATACCCCAGATTATGTACATAATTCACCTAGTTTTCCCATAGTTGATCATTCAAATACTTCATATAACTATTTAATTAAACCCTTTTCTTTTCAAGAGTTGTTGTCTGCAATTCATTCTAGAAGGAATACAGCAACTGGTCTGGATGGCATTCCTTATTCCATGCTCAAAAAGCTCAGTGATAATAGCCTCCAAATCTTCTTATCCATTTTAAATAGTTTGTGGAGAAATAATGATATACCCGATCCATGGAAGTCTGATTGTATAGTACCCATTTTGAAACCAGATAAGCCCAAATTGAATCCAAACTCATATCGTCCAATCACTCTTACATCTTGTGTTGGAAAAATCTTTGAACAGTTGTTAAAACAACGACTTGAGTTTTTTGTGGAACAAAATCACATTCTACCTGCAAATCAATTTGGATTTAGAAGAGGAATGTCTGCTCGTGAAAGTATTTGCCAACTTCATCTTGATATTCAGAATAGTTTAGTTAATAAGAATTTCTTGGTATCTGTATTTTTCGATGTTTCTGGTGCCTTTAATAATATAAATATTCATGTGCTTTGTTCTGAATTGGCTTGTTTAGGAATTCCAAGTAAAATAATTCAATGGATTTATAAATTTTTGACAGAAAGGGAAGTGTATGTCAAATATAATAATAATTTATATGGTCCTAGACGTGCATCCATTGGAGTTTGTCAAGGAGGAATTCTGTCTCCCTTATTGTTTATTCTGTATATAAGACGTCTTAATTTAGTACTAGGTTCTCATGTTAAAAATTTACAGTTTGCTGATGATCTTGTAGTTTATGCATCTGGAAAAAAATTAACAGAAATTACCAACATTGTAAATAAATCTTTAGAAGGTCTTTATAATTATTTTTCTTATTTAAATCTTGATATCAATGCCCACAAATCAAACTTAGTTATATTTGGAAAAATTCATAGCTCAGCCTCCATTGTATATTATAACAAAATCCCTATCCCCATTTCTTGTGAAGCAAAGTTTTTAGGAATATCATTTACTTACAATGTGTCATGGAACAAATATGTTGAAATTATAAGTTCAAAGGCTAACAAAGCATTTAATGTTTTAAAATCATTATGCAGATCATCCTGGGGAGCTGATCCCAAAATATTATTAATACTTTATAAGTCTCTCATTCGCAGTCATTTTGAATATGGGTTTCTCTGTTTTTCTGGTGATAATAGACTGGTGGATAAACTAGAAAAAATCCAAAATAAAAGTATGAGAATTATAACAGGAGCATTTAAAAGCACACCTATAAATTCATTACAGGTTGAATGTGGATTACCTCCATTAAATATAAGATTTTCCTACTTGAAAGAAAAGTTTATTTTAAAACTTTACACAAAAAAAAATAATCACCTTTTTTTAAACTTGGTCAATTCACATATTTCAACAGAGAATCTTTACATTCTTCAGAATTTTTCCCAATTTTTAAATTATATTAATGGCTTGCAAATACACCAGTCAGAATTGCTACCTTGTTATCAGGGACAATTTGAGAGTAAATTCCCAGCAATAAATATTTTCATTGATCATAAATTATCTTGTAAGCAAGATGTTTATAATAAATTTTCTGAGTTTTCTGGTCATCGGTTCTTATATACAGATGGTTCAAAAACAGAATCAGCAGTCTCTTTTGCAATTTTTGATGAGCAATTGAAGTTAGGTACAGGTTACAAAATTAATTCCAACACAAGCATATTTACAGCCGAGGCTCTGGCTATTCTTGCAGGTCTAAAACATATTAAATATAAAAATAATGGATGTCATAAGTGGGTAATAGTTAGTGACAGCATGAGTGTTTTAGAAAATCTTAAAAACAATAAGTTCAATGCTAACACAAACTATCTTATATTTTCGATTAAACAACTTTGGTTAGACTTGAACATTATGGATAATATTCAAGTATCATTTGTTTGGGTTCCTTCACACATTGGTGTGGTAGGAAATGAAAAAGTTGACTTTTTGGCAAGGTTTATAACCAATTCTTCAATAATCCCTGATTCCAGCAATAGCCTTAATATAACTGTTCCAAATAATGACATAATTTTTCTTTTAAAAAATAGATCCACTAATTCGTGGAAAAAACATTGGAATTTTAAAGTCCAAATAGAAAACAAAGGTTTATGGTATGCTTCTTTTAACGTTCCTGTAAATTCTACACCTTGGTTCTGCAAAAGTAACACTTACTTTAACAGGAAATTTTATACAACTATCCTGAGGCTTCGTTTCGGTCACTGTAGTCTAAAATACCATCTTTATCGTCTAAATATAGTACAAAGTCCCTTTTGCGATCGTTGTGACACTCAAACAGAGCAGTCTTTGGACCACATATTCTTTGAATGCCCATCCTTTGGCATTCAGCGCCTTGTGCTAATGGATGAGCTGATTGAGATTTATAAAAGTCCGGAACGGGTACCGCGCTCTACTTCAAATCTGCTCGTAAATACCTCCACATTTCTACCTTTGTTTAAATTTGTAGATAGCACAATTGGGCAAATATAGGTGTACATAGCTTAGGATAATTTTTACGTGTCTTTGTTGTATTTAGTCACTTTTTTCTTCTTTTTTATCCTATTTCGATTTTTTTGAGAATGAAGTCTCGAATGCATAGGTATTATTTGGTTGATGTCAATATGAAACGGGAAGTAACTTTTGTTTGTTGATGTTCTAAGTCAAAGAATAATTCAATGGGTCTTTGAAATTTTTTGAAACGTATTTTTATTGTAATTTTGTTTTTATACTGAAGAAGTTTAATATCATTTTTATAAACTGAAGACTTAACGTCATTTTTCAATACTAAGAAATACAATTCAACCAATGACGAGGCAGTATGGTCTATGATCTTAGCCTGTTCCGGAAGGAACACGAATTATAATACTACTACTAAGAAACTGTCAAAAAATATCAGTGGTTGAAAATCGAAAGATGAACTTTGAATATTGCTAAGAAAAAAATTGGAATTTATTTCATTTCACCTTTATTTTATATGTAGAAATTTATTCATTTACTTGACATTGACAGAATTGTGCGAAACGCGCAGATAAGCCGTTAATAAAAGAAAAGAAAAATGTTGTTAACTTTTAGCTTCAGCATAGTCTTTTACTGACTATTGCATTTTAAAACTTGTCCTTCGACCTTAGCACGGAGAGCTATAAATTGTAGATTAAATTTATGTCAATATATAACTTTGAAAACCAATTTGCAGTGAGTTTACAATGTCGTTATCGCCTCAAATTTTGCTGTCTAGTTTATCCAGAGAACGGTGTATCACAAAATTAAAAGAACTTCCAGCATTAATAACACAAAAATCAAAGCAAAAGATGCAGGCTTCTGTTCTCGTCCCTGTTTGCGTTGATGATGGCAAAGTGTGTCTTCTCTATACATTGCGGTCTTCAAATCTGAAGCAACATAGTGGACAAGTGTCATTTCCTGGTGGAAAAGCAGATGAAGATGAATCCTGTATTGAAACCGCTTTGAGGGAGACTGAAGAAGAGATAGGTATACCTCGAGACAGTATAGATGTATGGGCGATAATGCCTCAAGTTCAGGGCAGGAATAAAGATATGAGAATAACACCAGTTGTTGGGGTCATCAACAATTTTGATATGAAAAAATTAACCCCAAATCTAGATGAAGTAGATGAAATATTTACTGTGTCTATGGAAGATTTTTGTAACAAAGACAATCATGGACATGTTACATTTGAAAACCATCCTATACCAGTGTATAACACTGACAAACACAGAGTTTGGGGTATCACTGGTATGATAACTCATTTCTTTTTACAAAGTTTCCTTCCTGAAAATGTATATCAACTTGATTACAATAGAAGAGAATACACTTTTGATGAACTGATGCCTTCAAAGTTATAGTTTTTGCAAAAAAATTAAATATTTTAATTTCGAAGTATCTTACTATATAAAATGTGTCATATACCAAGTTCCTGAGCAACCACAGGAATAGGATTGTATAGAAATGAGCTCAAATGAGATACTTCTGTTTGTAGGTGATGTTAGTGGTGTTTTTGTTTTCTAATACTTTTGTCATATTTGACAAATTTTGTATTTACAATACCAAATCAATGTTCTATAGAAATATGCTTTTGTTTTCATAAAAATTCTGTTTGTATAAATAGTAAAATAGATCTCTCTATATACTTAATTATCTTGGAATAAATCTTAGTCTTTTGACAGTGAAATTAAAATATATATATATCTTACATGGTACTGTGTATACAAAAACTAATTTACTTAAGTTTTCTTTTCAATTCTTATTGGGTAAGGACACTACAAACTATATATCAGCAGATATAATTTATTTTAGGTGGTAAAGTGGGAACAATGAAAAGCCATTGCATAATTTAGTCAGTTTGATTTGACATAATAAAAAAGTATTTTGTTAAAGTGCTAATGTAACACATCTTATTTGCAGGTGATGTGAATTCTTAAAATTCAGATATTGGTGATGTGTATAGTTTTGTACAGACTTAATAAATAAACAATTATCAATGTTGTGTTTGATATTTATTCACATGTCACATTTAATAATTAATTATATTGACACCTCAGAGAAGAAAGGTTTAAAATACGCAGCTTTACAGGAGATTCACAAAACAAGTAAAAAAGTTTGGGATGGTTAAGTAGACGAAAAATAATATTTTATTCAAATAACACTATATAGATTGACAGCTTGAAATAAAAGATGTTGATAAAGAAATTCATTAATAAATTGTATTTGTCGAAAATGGTATTTAACACCTTTCTTCTATTGAGTCTGTCTATACATATGTATATTGTTATATATGTGGTGCCGCAGGCCGCAACGTGGAGCAGTTAACAGGTTGTATCATAGTCAAGTTTTTTTTAGTTAAATAAGAGATTCTACATTCGTAGACACAGATATTATAGTAGCGTCGCATGTCGGAGGCACAGATGGGGTCGTATGGTCTTAAACATGGGCAAGTAGTTTCGTCCCAGCCATCCCATGCCTGTTGTAATGAAGTTGCTGCGGCGCACAATAACAATATGAAGGTAACTGTAACAATAAAATATACTAAAAATATGTAATAGATTACTTATGACCACAACTCATGAGTAATGGCGGATATATTTATTAATATTTGTTAGATGCTGCTTGATAATCACATGAAACCCCAAAGAACTAAAACTAAAAAGCATAATAATTTAATTTTGTCTATAAATAAGACACCTATACCCGGTGACTAAACAATTTAATAAAGGCAAAATAAAGGGAAATGTTCTTAAAATATAAATATACTAATCTTGTTAACATTTAACATAACGTTGATTTTTTCATGTATGTCGACAGCACGTCAGATTTCTACTAAAGGATTTTGCCTAACGAATTTTAACTTTAAGTTGTTGATAGTTAAATTGAGCCTTTAGTACTAATGTGATATGATTCTTTGTGTACAAATTCCATATACCTATATCAAAGAAAACCTCCACAAACCCCATACCCCCTTTGCGATCTTATATATTTTAAATTAGTAGGTACCCAAGCTCTAAGCCGTGCGTGTACATAATATGTGCAAACTATTTTTATTGCGGAAGTTACAGATCAATGTGTTATCTGTTTTTGGTTATTTTACTACTAAAGCTGTGAATAAAGTGATACGTAGAGAACATACACCTTACCCTCCTGAGGTGAGGCGACGTCGAGTTCATTACCTATGGACACCAGAACGACCTGTTTCTTGGGTACAAAAATATTAAACTATAATCATATTTAAATTCTTTTTCATTAAATAATTAATTCATTATACTTGTCATTGGTTTATAACTTAAAAGACGTATTAGTAAAATACAGTAAATTAGGTACTTACTTAGGCAACTACTTAATAGTACTCAAATTCGTTGCAGCTCCCTTCTTTTACAACGAGTATGTCTAAGCCGTACTGTTTGACATATTTCGCCCGACACTCGAATTGGCACATGTTGGCGTACGTGCGTCCGTCAGTCGCGCATATAGGCTGGTATATCTTGCCACAGGAGCAACTGGTGGTCCATGGGTCGCACAGGGAAGATGTCATCAACATTGCCAAAATGAAGACTGGAATAGAGAATACCCTGCTTTTGTGGAAACTAAATTTAGTATATAACTAGCTTTTCGCCCGCTTGGTCCTGTATTAAACATATAAACCTTCCTCTTGAATCACTCTGTATATTTATGACTAGTGGCCGCCAGCGACTTCGTCCGCGTTTTCCATTATTTCTTCGCTCCTAATAGTTGCATCGTGATGTTATATAGCCTAAAGCCTTCCTCGATAAATGGTCTATTCAACACAAAAATAATTTTTCAATTCAAACCAGTAGTTCCTAAGATTAGCGCGTTCAAACAAACAAACTCTTCAGCTTTATAATATTAGTATAGATTATATTTGTTGTGTAATATATATTTAAATTAGTGGTACCACAAACACCCAGATAAAAGATTATTGCTAAACACTCATACTAGGTTCTCTCTATGTACTCTAAGTGGGAATACTGGGATAGCCCGTAAAAATCCGCGTAGGCACGAGACAAAATAATTTCAAGCCTCACTTTGTTTATTTTTTTTTTGTATCTGTTTTAATGAAATGAGGGTCGATTAAACATCCGTAGTTTGCTTATAGCGTCTTTTAAAAACTTTCCCGACTCTATCACCCGCGATTTTGAGTCACGATCCAAGGTATAGAAACGCTGACCTTTAGGAATAATTTATGGTAAAATATTTGTTTATATATGTATTAATTTATTGGTGTAATCTACCCTGTTCTAAAATGCAAAACAAACTGTTAAACACACATATAGCATTGCCGTTTATAAATTAAATACTAGGGACCTACACATAAATCTCTTTTTCAAGTTAGTAGATAGATCCAACTTTAAATATTTATCTTTTTTATCTATATTGGTACTATTGGTATCAATAAACATTTATGCGTAGCTTTGATAAAGTTGTTACAAAACTACGTATCGTTTTTGCAATTAAGTACATTTTTTATGAAGTTACCTACACAATGGAAAAAAATAAAATCGATTTCATAAATTAATTTTCGATTTCTTTTTGATGTGGGTTTAAGTATTTATAAAAGCAAATCCTACTTTTTAAACTTTAAGTGACTAATGTTCACTTACAAATTTTCAAGTTTATAAAAAACACTAATCAGTCTCGTTAAGATCATCTTCTTCGAAATGTGTATTTTGATGGCGGTACCCTTAGCAAAATGTCACTCGCACAAAAAAGGTAAAAATTTGATCGAAATGAAAACCGTCCTCTTTTAGAAGTCACACGAACAAACAATTAAACGCCATTATTTTGATATTTTGTATGCAACGGATTTTATACAATAGTTACATATTGTTTTTTTTATCCCTTTAACCAGTGGAATTTTTCTAATACTATAGGAAGGCGATCCCTTTAAGCGGTCTGACGGTAACAGATGATGGCTAATAGTCATAGCTTCCACACGTTTCGGTCCTGACTTCCTTGCCACGCGAATTTTTCGGTACTACCTATGTTTTATGTACCTGATTAGGTACTTTGCAATTTACTATCCTTAGCAATCAATCAGTCAATATTTCATAATCATATTAAATATTTTTGAAGCAAATTTATTTGCAATATTCTGATGATAGGAGGTAAAGATAGGTTTCGTCATCAAAATAAGTTCAAATCATTAAGGTATCAATCACAAAATAATTAAAGCTTCAATACACAGTGCCATATGTTAAAGACTTTAAAAACATACTATATGTGATAACAATGCAATTAAGTAAAAATAATATAATCGAGAGTGGGTAAGTGCAAAAAAACGTGTTTTCAAACCCTTAATGTGTGCAAAAATATAATTTCGTAAATAGCTTTAATAACATTTTTCCAAGTTACTTATTGAGCTATATTTAAATTTTATTTTAAGCATTTTTATATGGCACAACATAAACTTGATATAAATAAAATTAGGGAATCATATAACTTACAAATTTTGCGGTCCATGTCGGGATAGATACTTTTTGTACTGCTTTTCAGATGCACCGCGGCGTCTCACTTTCACCTGCAAGCCCTTGCGTTATATATAAGCGGTTATTTTTATCAATTTCCGTTTGATAATACAAGTGGGATAATTAAATATATGAAGAAACCACTTGATGAACCAGTTTATGAAGTAGTTCTTATAAAAAGTTGTATACAAATGTTATAAGAGGTCGATGGTGCGCGCGATACCTACTTCTATTGTTTGATCGTATGCGGTATTCCTTGTGCGCGTGTACGCATATAAATTCAACGCAACGATTTCCCTAGACGGGTATTGTCACTATAAAATCGTTCGGCAAAGTGACCTTAAGTTTCATTCCTAAACACGAATTCGTTATTACATTTCTGAAGGTGGTTGTTGAAAAATAATTACTTGTACCAAAATGTAACCGGTTACCCACTATTATTAACTTTTGTTACTTTTTAGAAAATTAAATATTAAAGTTATTCCTGATATTTCATATAGTAGGGAAGGCATAGAGGGGATTTCAGGATTTACTAAAATCGCGGCAGATTAATATACAGGGGGATACCTCGTATCCTGCTGAGTACTCCCACCAAATAAGAGCCTTATATATATATGGTCGCCTGTCAAGGATAAAGGATGAGATTAGCAAAAAAAATGGATGGTCCGAAACTGTCGAGCGCGTCAGATTAAGGTAGGGTGAGTTAGTTACATACTAAAACGTGAATATTTGACGAGAGTGACGTAGATAAGGGGGAGGGCTACAAAGTTATAAAATATTCGTTATATCAACATTCTGGAGCGTGGCTATTTTTTATTTTATTCTGAACGAATAATTCCAGGATTACGAAAAATATATAATCTGACGATTTTCATAAGCCAAAGTGTCAGAAATTTATCGATAAAGTTAAGGTACCTGATGCTTATATTCCAATTCCAGCAATATTATTGTCCCCCTCTAGTTCTGTTTGCTTGAATGGAGGATAAAATGGAGAATCTTATGACATAATACGATGATCGTACTAAGGCAATGCGTTTTGAAAAAGTGTCTCTGTCGCTACCAAGTGGTATAATCAGACGACCAATTGACCAGCTAGACCTTGAACTATATAAGAATTGAACCATTCAATCACGGGCTGACTTTCGTTCAGCCAAGTAACAAAGGTCAGTCACCGAATTAGTAATGAGTCCTCGTTTCGACAAAATGAGAAGTACTCATTTTTCAACTTTGAACCACCTCATTTAGCTCCTCACTTTTTGAGGTCTCCAGGTAATATAATATGCCTCCCTCAACAGAATAGTGAGTTTCTTAGAATGAAAGGTTGAGTCGATATATAATCAACATATTAACAATTGGTTGAGAGAGTGGGTAGGGTCGGTTTTTATGAGTTTGATAGGACGACTCAGTTAATTTTAGTTTAATATTTCCTCGCAATTTAGATGAATAATATTAATCGGTTGAACTAAGTAAAAATAAAAAATATTGTATAAAAATCCTATTGACTGAAGAAAGAAATTAATAAACAAAATTAATTCTGCGTAAGAAAATATTTTTACAATAACTTGCTTTACGACAATATTTAGCTTTCAAATTTGATCTTTTATCTCAACTGTTTTTCTCGGCTCGACCGGCGAGTAAGTAGTGGCGCGCGCAAAGTTACCGACTCCCATCCTCATTTGTCTTACGTCTCGCTACATACTTAATTTTGTATTTATTTCATTCCCATTCACAAACCCACACCTATTTAACTATGAATTTATTAACAGGAATACCGAAATTTATTGATAGGATTAGAAATAAAACAAAATAAATATTGTAGTGGGTGATTATATTTAAATTTAAAAACTCCTTGTTACGATTTGTAATCAATACAGATACAGGACTGATCAAAAGATAATAACTGCTTATTCGCGACTGAGTGTTAATGGTCCGTATGATCCAATACTGAAAACTAACATAACACACACCCATTACGTAAATGGGTTAAACTTATACTTTCCTAATAAATTCTTAATACTAATACAATTAAAGAAAGACAAGTTATACCGCGCTGTGGCCGTCTGAATGGCCACAGCGCCATCTATCGAAATATAAGAAGTAAGCAATGTATTTGACTGCGATTGTTTTCAATGACTGAATTCGAAAATTGTTAATAACACCATAAAATGGTAAACAACCAATAAACAACGAAGTTAGTCTTTTTGATCGGTCCAAATATAATGATTCAACTAGAAAATTAGGCATGCAATTAAATAGCTAGGCGCCCAACTGAACGGCTATTTTAACCAGTTTGCTGCAACACCTTCACTATTTCAAAACGCAGTGGATTCATATTGCCTCGGGTTTCCTCTACGGTACTCTTCATAGTCCAGTCCGACCCGCACTTGGCCACTTTTTGTTTGTTGCTGTCTTAAACAGTGTATGCATAATTTATCTAGATTCGAAGGAATCACAAATGTTTAGCGAACAAATATTGTGCATTGACTTATTACATCATTAAGAAAATTCCTATTGAACTTAGCAAATATAATGGGCGTACGTATTGAAAAATAGGTATTATGAATTTACAATAATATTTCAATCTCATAAATGTATTGGGTCTGTTCATTTATTCTAGCAGAGATTACAAAAACTACTTTTTTTTCGTTATTTGTATGCGTTATTTTGTTATTTATTTCACACCTTATCGCGAAATCTACCAGTTCCTAATCAAAACTACCGGTTTTTGGAAGTTCTAGGTTAATTACTTCTTTTTGAAAGGTTGGTTTAAGTAGTTACGAAATACAACTGTCAGATGACTGCGATTAGTATAAAAAATTAAATAAGTAACATGCGTGTGTATTTAAAATATAGCAAATATGATGTAGGTAGGTATATTGTAACTTTTTTCATATAAATATTTATTTTCTCACATTCGCTATTGTAGATTTTTTCATTTGGTCAAAATCGCATACACAGTTAAGTAGGTACAAAATAGCCACATCAACCGCACTTTTTTGCACGACCAAAAAAATACCAAAAGTCGATGGCGGCCAATCGCATCGGTGGCGGTGTTAAAAAACCTTGGACAGCCGTAATATTGTTTAAGTGTGTTGTACATACATATAAACTAGACAAAACGTACTGCGGACACCATTTTGGTCCAGTGCTCTTCAGATTTGACAGTCGAAAGCCGTAAGAGTCACTGCCAATTAATTAGTTATCGACCAACATGATAAAATTTGGTAAGTTTACCTAAAGTCGATGAAAACTTTAACAAATACATAGTAGGATTTTAATGTTTTACAAGTAGCTACAGTTTTAATTGTGCTTTAATTTCGAAAAGAAAAGAAATATAGTTAATTAAATATGCGAAAATGATTGTGATAAAATAAATGCGTATACTTAAATCTAAAAATGTTTTGAAGAGGAAGTTGATTAATTCTTTTACTTTGCTAACGTCAATAACGATTCCTAATAATTTTTCTTATTGTTGATATTTTGTTTATCAATATTTCCAAACATTGTTTTAATTTTTGTAACAAAACTCGTAACACATACGATGTTATTATAGAGAAGTGACTCTATAAGGAAAACTGTGTGCTTAATTAAAATATTTTTTCAGTGTTGCTGATTGTGGCATGCCAGAACATGGTGCTGGCGTTACAAAATCATTGCTTTTGTCCTATCGAGTATGACCCAGTATGCGGCACCAATGGACGCACGTATCTTAGTAAATGCATCCTCGACTGTGCTTTATTGCGCGGCGCAGTAAAAATAGAAAAGAAGGGGCCCTGTAGTCCGGCCCCATGTACTTGCCCCGAAGAATATAATCCAGTATGTGGCAGCAACGGCGTTACCTACGGCAATGACTGCTTACTAAACTGTGCTACAGCAGACGACGCATCGTTGAGTATCGCACGCGGTGGCTCCTGTGAACACACCGTCATCGTCGTCGATCAACCCGATTGCAAATGTCAAGAAGACTTCAACCCAGTGTGTGGAGCAGACGGTGTCACGTACACCAACGAATGCCTGCTCAAGTGCGCAAATGAAAAATTAGCAAGGAAGGGCCCTTGCGAACCTCCATGCGCCTGTCCCAACGAAGATAAGCCAGTATGTGGTAGCAACGGATTCACCTACAGCAATCCATGCTGGCTGAACTGCGCCACAAAAGACGATGCCAGTTTGAGAGTCGCCAGTGTCGGAACTTGTAATTCAAATGAGGAGTCCACCGGATTACTTATTGTGGAACAACCAGGTTGCAGAGCTTGCAAGAGTGACGCAGAGCCGGTATGTGGGAAAGACCGTACCACTTATGCGAATGAATGCGTCATGGAATGTGCTGGAGTGGAGCTTTTGAAAGAAGGTCCATGCGAACCTCCGTGCGTCTGTCCCGCAGATCTATCACCTGTGTGTGGAAGCAACAAAGTGACCTACAGTAACGTGTGTTCGCTCAATTGTGCAACGATAGATGACGCTACGTTAAGCGTCGCGCATTCTGGTCCTTGTGAGGCTGACGTTGTTAACGTGGCGGAACAACCAGTTTGCAAGTGCCCGGGATACTTTGAACCAATGTGTGGTACTAACGGCGTGACGTATCACAATGAATGCCGAATGAAATGTGCTGGACAGACATTAGCGAAGGTAGGGCGGTGTGAGCCGCCCTGCACCTGCCCGAGCGAAGGTAAAGCAATCTGTGGCAGCGACGGTAACACATACAACAATGTTTGTTTATTGAACTGTGCTACTAAAGACGACCACACCCTTAAAGTGAAACATCCGGGACCTTGCAAGAATGCAGCTCCTGCTATCGACGCAAGAAGTGCCTAATTTCGTAAACCTTTTTTGTATTTACATTGTCATTAAAATATTGAAACAAAGTCAAGTTTTATATTTTTAATTTCGTTAAGTTGTAGATAAAGTTACCTATACCATGTGTAACATTAGGAACGGTCAGTATGGGCAAGTTTGCAACTAGATGACATACTAAAATTTGTTCTTAGGAACCATGTTCATTGATTTTAGTCAAAAGAAAAACTGCATTCATACAATAAACAGACTAGTTCTCAGTCATACATTAAAAAAACAATTTCTTGAATACGTCGCTTTTGAGATAAGTATTATTTATCACTTTTTTAAGTTTTAAGTCGGTTTCTATTTTTTAAAGTTATTCTGTAAAAAAGTTAACTGAAAAACATAGAGACATACAGAAACGACATCCAAATAGGCTGTAATTAAAATTAGAAAACTACAAAAAATTCCTAAGGGTTTATATCTTATTTAAAATTAACTAGCTTTTGCCCGCGACTTCGTCGGCATGGTAAAGTTATTTTGAACAGCATTTTTAACAAATATTTATTAATTCAAAGTTACCCGAAAAGTACCTGAAATAAACTTTCATCCCCTATTTTATCCCCTTAGGGGTGGAAGTTATCAAAATCTTTCTTGGTGATGCCTACGTCACAGTAGCTAGCTTTATGCATGCAAAGTCCGATCGGTTTAAATTTGAAAAAGTTTCATACAAACTTTCATCTCCTATTTTATTCCCTTGGTGATAGAATTGATCAAAATCCTTTTCATAGCGGATGCATATGTCATAACATCTACCTGCTTGCCAAATATCAGCCCGATCCGTCCAGAGGTTTGGGCTGTGCGTTGATAGATCACCTATGGCAGACAGTCACCTTTGAGTTATATATATTTAGATTATACGCAAACCTTTACGAGATTCTAAAAATTATCCGTAAAGCGCATTGATGGGCGCATAAATAACAAAATTAAATTGTACATAATTATATGAACGCGTGTAAATACTGAATAATGCGGAAAATATGATTTTATATTGTATTCTTTACTATTGTAGGTAACGTTAAAAGTGTCCTTTTAAGAAAGACGTATTAGCAATTTGGCAGAAGAGTGAACTCGCTGGCGTTAACTCATTAATATTCAGAAACAAATCAGTAAAGTAAAATATTATTACGTAATAATCACTGATATTCTCGGTCAGTCGGTCGCATCACTCGAGACGGGCCTTGGTGATTTCCTACATTGTTTACAGACATCTTCGAAACCGATAAGTAAACATAATAGTGTCAACAAGTATCCTTAGTTCAGGGAAGACGAACGCTAACATTTCCTGTAACCATCTGTGAGATGACGCAGGCGGCGTAGGCCCGCATTTGGCTCGCCGATGCCGGGGAATCACGCTCTCGCAAGTCGCAACGATGACGAGTCGGGAACCAAAATAATTACTATATATTCGTTTGCACCATAACACAGACATCATTGCGAAGTGAAGCGAGCGCGCATTACTACGCTTATTAAAAAATACAGCTCCATAACAATAAGCCAGAATGATCTCGATATTTGGTAAGTAAAAATATTTATTTCTATATAAATATGTATTTTTAATTTTAAATGAAAAATTATGTATTCATTATTATTATCCGTATTAATTATTAAACTAACGCAAAGAATGACTAGGTATATTCAGAGTAATTGACAAATATTTTTTTGAAAGGGCTTGATAAAATGTGACCTATACAAAGTATCATTATTGATTATACATGGTACGGTAGGTACCTATGTGATTTTTTTACGCGATCATGCGTATCAGTCAACCGTGACTCCAAATTAACTTCCGTTTCAATAAAATACTTTACAAAATTAAGTACGTACACATGTACTTTTATATCATATAATATACATGGGTGAATATGATTTATTATAAAATGGTATATTATTAAAGTTTCGCAGATTTATTCGGTTACAATTTTCAAATTTAATAAATATAACACTGCAGCGCCAGTCAATTCCAGATGAGGGAAGTAGATTCAATTTGCAACTTAAACTTATTAAATAAAAATTCAAAAACAAGTAAAATTTCTCTTCGGTTCTATTTTGATCTAATTTATATTGCAAAATTAGATCCAGCTTTCTTACGTTTGTGTCCACAGCTAAGAAAACAAAAAAAACCGCCTGTGTGAAAAACAATTTATTTTAATTACAATTTTATTTGTCTTTTTAGTTAGACAAATTACCAGGTTGGTTCAGAAAGTGAAAGAACGAAGTCCATATTTTTATCATTGTTATTTTTATTACTCGTAGTATTACGGTAATGTTAACTATCATATAGCTTTTTGGGATTCTTGTATTGAGCCCTTTAATTTGATACCCATATTGTAGGATTTGAACAACATTTTTTTATCATTAAATAAAATGGCGTCGCACACCCACAATATTTGTTTTATAAAACGTTACCTATTTAAGAACACTTGGGCTACTAAGACAAATCTACAACATCTTAACTATCTAAATCCGTTCAGCGGTTCTGAAGATATGAGGCAATAAAGACTATTACATATATATATATATATATACATACAAGATAAGAGCGAAAAACATAACCCTTCCGTTATAATCGGGTAAAGGTTAGTCGATACAATTTAAAATTGATTCTTAAAAATTACAAATGCGGTTAACAAATTCATGAAACAACATTTAGAATCCAGCCGACCAATTGAAGTTTCAATAAATCGCTTTCTTTTAATTAAAAAATGATAATTTTGGAAACTTACAAATTTTTCAAGATTATAAATAAACTACTCATCAAATCCACATTCTAAGGAATCATCAAATCCGTCTTATTCTTTCGATGATATCATGGAACATAAATAAAAAAAATATTCAGTCAGATTAAGAATTACCTTATTTTTTGAAGTCGGTTAAAAATAATATAAATTTATGTGTTTTATGTGAATTTAAACCTAGAAGATTCTATAATTAATTAGTTTACGGAGATGTTAAAAATACGTTTACATAACTAATACATAATTTGAACATTTAGAACGACAACATGAGTAAGGTCAAGGTTGGCAAGTCGTTGATAAACGCCAGCTCCCCTTACATCTCACAACATCGATTGTATAAGATCTAGTTGCGTCATGTTTCTGAAAGAACTAACTTTAAATTTCCGCGATTTCGCACGCGTTAATTAAGGTATATACACTTGCGTAAGATGTAGCTTCCCAAAGGTGAGACTTATAATCGGATCAGTATATCCGAAGATTACCCTCCACAAACAAAAAAGTTATAAACTTAACCTTTTTATATCATTAGTATATATTTTTTAACATACGTTATTATTTTCTAGTGTCGTTTTCTCATTTAACAATGACACACTCCATGAACAACGTAGGACGGGTTTTCCTTTGTTTAATGTAAATAATTAAGTATGATGCCATCTTTGAGTTTAGCAAACTTCGCCTGTTTTTACAGTCAACTCTGTCCGTGTTTAAAATATACTTATAAATAATTGACACCCATTTCATTTAAAAACTTCCTATTGTATTATTCATTTACATACGGACTTGCATACATAATTGTTTGTTTTTATGCTTTTCGGTAATATATATTTTCCATATAATAGGTGATGCTTTTCTCTGCCAAGTATACATACTTAATATTTAACTGTCTCCGTGGCTCCATACCCACAATTTTTCTGTTACTTAAAATATGCTGGCGCAGAGCCGGCTACTTTGGCAGGTGCCAGTCATAGGTTGGGTAACCAAAAAATTATTATCTCGCGCTCCTCGTGCGTCGAAAAGCACGTTTAGCCGTTAGTCCCGGTTGTATTTGCAGTCGTCCGCACCAATCTACTGGGCTCGCGTAGTAAGTCATGGCTCGTTCTCCCTATTAGATTCCATATCAATAGGGAAGGTCTGTGCCCCAGTAGTAGGGACTTTAATAGGTTGGTGATGATGCATTATTTGATCTCCTGACAATGTAACAACATCTAATTAAGAATATCAGGGACAACGGGTGATTCAGCGTTTGCGTGATTACAATAGGTACTGAATTTATTTATGACAAGAATCAAGTTCTAAATAATTAACAATGACATTGATAGTACCGTATTTTTTATAAAACGGTATCCTGATTCAATGATATCATTGATATTTTTTTATAGAGGTTTATTGGTAACTGAGAAAAAACTTTTTAACGTTTTTAAGAAAAAAAATTATAAGTTGTGTCGTCAAAAAAGTTTATAAGTTTTCGTCAAAAATTATAACTATTATGTATTTCAGGCGTGTTGCTGGTCGCTGTAGCTTTCAAGAATTGTAACGCACTGCCACCATGCGTTTGCGCGAAAAATTACAGACCAGTGTGTGGTTCAGATGGGAATACTTACTCCAATGAATGCATGATGAACTGCGCTAGTTATAATACCAAGAGCAATATAGAAATGTCCAAAACAGGTCCGTGCAATGAAGAGGCGCAAAATCTCTGTATATGTACAATGGAATACAGACCAGTGTGCGGAGACGACGGGAAAGACTACTTTAACTCTTGTGAAGCTGGATGCAATAAGGTTGAAATTAAATCGTACGGCCTCTGTGATGAAGTGAAAGTTGCAGTAATACCTCCTTGCACATGTTCAAAGGAGAAGAAGCCTGTTTGCGGCACAGACGGCGCTACTTACAGCAACGATTGCTTGCTCAACTGCGCTACACAAGTGAATTCAAGGCTTGGTATTGCTCATCAAGGACCTTGCGAAGAAATAAAAACACCAAGTACACCAGCAAGTAGACCGGAAAGTATTGGAGTATCATGTGGCTGTACCAGGAATTTCATGCCTGTTTGCGGTTCCGACGGAGTTACGTATAACAATGATTGTCTTTTAAATTGTTCCGGCAAGGAGAAAATAAAGGAAGGCTCTTGTGAGCAGATCGATATCGTTAATAATTAACGCGTTGATAAGAGTCACTGAAGATAAAAACGTTTTGTGTTGTGTGGTTATACGAAAGCAGTTTTATACTTAAATAAATAGGAAATAAGAAACTTTTTTGTATTTGTTATAATAAATTATTTTTCAACGTTGAATATGTCTTTATTTTTTTTTGTAAGAACTATAAACAATTTATAAAAAAAACTGCAGCTTTTTCATATACAAATGAGTAAGTATTTAAAAAAAATAAAGAAACTACAAAAATTTATTTCACTAGATGGCAGCACAAATTGTAGGTCTAAATGTCAATTCATGACGTTAAATTCTATTCTCTTTGGAATAGAATTATCAGGTTTGTTATGGATCTGATAACTCGGAGTGATAACGAGTTGAAATTCAATTAGTTAGAGTTACCCGTTACCATTTAATCCTTGAATAAATTAGTTTTTTATTTGTATAAAGGAAAATGGAAACTAACGTAATGGAAGTTAGCATAGAAAAGGTTATTTTAAAAGTTACGGTAATCATTAGAATTAATGCTGTGAAATTATTAAAAGTGGCATTTAGCTACGGTATACAATAATATTACCGTGAAATAGTTTTTATAAATAAAATATTTATGCCATAGTAGATCTAGGAATTTTTCATTATAATATTAAACAAAAGTTCTGAAAACCATAACAAATAGGTAAGTAAATTTTGTTGCTATTAGTTGTTTGTTGAACTTATAGCAACAAAACTACATCAAGTCTCAATCATATTTTTATATTATGTGTGGTGAATGAATAAATAGGGTTTATTAATCAGTAACATACATAAAAATAAAAACGATAATTATAATAAAAAATCCGTTTGATAATTATATACGTACCCGATATGTATCAAATATACTAGGTATTCGTACAAAATAACATGACTTCTGGCTAGAATGACGTTTGTGCAAAGTATAACGTGCAAATAAGTTTTCCTTTCAAAATTAAGAATAAAAAAAAACTATGATCTGTTATTAAATCTTATATTCATAATTAAATAATCTTAATAATATTTCAGAAATCAAAAAGAAACGTCTTTTCGAAACGAACAGCAAGGTTTAAACTTTAAATTTCAAAATCACAAAGACACATACAGTTATTATTCTATCGCTACTGAACTTGCTCGTAGACGGCGGACGTCTAGCCAGATGTTATGTTAATTCGTGCGATGGATGTGTGCTTTTTTGGTTCTTACAATATTGTCAATAATAAATTGACTTCCTACTCAACCTACTCTCAAAATCAGTTTTGTTGAAATATATTACTTATTAAGTACCTAAAGTAGTCATGCTTTCTTAAAACTCTCTGCGGTGGTGTCGTATACGTCGGGTAGTTACGTTCCCTCAAATACCTATAGAGGAGCGAAGCGATGGCTGACTCATGTGTTAAACTCGTAATCGGGTGCTGCCAGTTGGGGTCCATTCCATTTTATTTATTGCCAGTCCATTTTATTTTATATAGGATTATGTACAGTATGTAGGATTTCTGATATTGTCATGGAAAGTGACTTCATAGTCTAATTAAGTCACATTCCAATAAGACTTCTCTTCTAAAAGCAGCCATTGCTGAGTTTCTTGCCGGTTCCTCTCAGTACAAGATCTCCCGTTGGAAAAGTTTTCGACTTTCACAAGTGCTATGTAACAGTTTTGTTTTTGATTCTAAACCTGAATTCGGATGAATCGAGTCGATTGAAGTCACGAGCAACCAATAAATTGGCTCATCACTAATGTTGACATATAAACCAAACAACGTTTCTTCACACGTAACAATAAATAACTTAAACTTACGATTCAAATAAATTTAAATTAATTTGAAACTTAGATATTATAAGGAACACGAAACGGTGTTATATTTATTAATTTTCGATACTCAATTTACTTTTATTACGTCAGAAACGAAATTTGAATAAATATCATAAGACAAGATCCACACATCGCTAGTGACATCTAGTTTGATTTCAAGAACTAATTTTCCTTATTGTTTTATTATAGAGCAAACATATATCCTCTGTTATTACGATATATATTCTTTTATCTAAATATATACTTAGCCTAAGTAAGTTTATTTATGGTATAATTGAATATTTCTACACTTTTTAGAGGTCGCGAATATAGAAATAATAACACAAGATGAGATAAATAGTAACACTTTAATAAAAAAAACCGAAAATTTATCGAATATCATAAATCCAAGTTAGCCAATAGTTCATCATCATCGTCAGCTTCTAGGAATGATTCCTCTATCATGATATCTTCACTAAAAGGGTCATGTTCAGTCAGTTGATCAGTCTTATTTGCGTTTAACGATTTTATATTTTCACTATTACCGATAGAACCGCTGCCATCATTGCTACATTTTGAATTATTATCCATATCCGATTTTAAGGTGCCTTTTCTAATATTTGTTCCAGGTATGTAATCATTTATACTCTTAAATCTAGTAGGGGTTAAATACTGCGTCAAACTATTTCTGCTCTCCTGGAAAATATACAGAAATTTAACATAATGTATGAAACCTAAATATTTTGCATTTTCTTTTTATATTTGATGATCCTTACCTGATGCTTCATGGCGGTGCCCTCAAATGTGTCTTTACTCAATCCCACGTCATTAAGTACCTGTTATGATAGTAACAAATTAACTTTCAGGGTAATAATAGCTACCTCGTGAATAGAAACCATTAAAATATTTAGCTCTTTGAGGAGCGCGATGACGTAGTAGTTAGCACATTAGATCTGGGATTACGGATGTTAAGCAACGCAAAGGAAACTCCTCCGTGCTTACAACACGTTAAACAGTTATTAACGTACCGAGCAGTTTATTGAAGTGACCACTGCCGGTGGTCAGGTCTATTTGTGAAAGAAATACAGAACGAATGGGCAACTAACCACTACGTTTTTAGTCACCCATGCGTTGATAAGCAATTGCGGAAGTAAGTTAAAAATGGGCGTCAAGACAATTTAATTCCTCGAAAACCATTACGGCTATTGTTATTTAAGCCACCAACCGCACCAACCCTAAACATTGCGATGGTTAACTTTTTAATCCTATATTCGACATTATCACCAGCCCTTTTACGTCCTCACTGCAGGAGCTCAAGAATTCATTACGGACGGTTACGGAGGATGAGCTATAACCCTACATGCTGGTCCAATGCAGATTGGAGGGTATTAACGACTGTAAATACAGCCAGGACCAACGTATCTGTTGGAGAGAGAGTTGAGCAGTTAACTTATAACTGTATTAGCTGATTCGTTGAATAGAAAAACACTGTTGTTGCACAGTAACTATTTTGACGATAATTCAAAATGCGTATTCACACAAGCACGGTTGGTGAGGGAGGGAGGACGGAAACGGAAATGCCACCACTTTACTATTTTTAGTGTGGCAGTGTTGCCAACAGTATTGCCGCAGCACGGAGTAGCTCGTGTCCAACACTTGCAAAAGTTGATTAACAACAACGATCTCCAGCCGCGGCGGTTATACACTACGCCATCAACCTCAATATATTCGAAATACTTACGTTTAATTTCCCCTGCAGCATCGGCCACATGATATCATCACAAGTGCCGGCCGCTAATAAGTATCGCACCGATACACCACCAGTCTGACCTATACGATGCGCCCGCGACTCAGCCTGAGTCAGAATCTAACAAAAAATAAACGAATGAATGAACAATTTACTGTTCAGTCAACTGTACGTCAGAGTAAATCAAACTGTCAAATATCCCCACTCGATTTTAATATAATGACGGAAAGGGACACAATTCATTGCAAAAATATATTTACTTTTTTACATCAGATAGAGAATCGAAACGCATTCCATAGACAATTTGATTGAACGTTACAAACGTTTCCAAGTAGGTAACGACATCTAGAGCGATTTCAAGAACATTAAGCCCTCTCATTTTATACCCATATTGGGTGAATTGTTCGGAAATATGCTGGCCGCCATTTTGTTAGAGCGGCCATTTCATATTAATAATGATACCGATTATATATAATTGCATTGTCATCAGAACTAAAGGTATATTTCAAAAATTTCAACTTAAACGGAGACTAGGAGATGGGTGAAATTTAGCTTGCAACTTGACTTGCAAACCTTGTAAAGAAAATGGGTTGGTTAAGGATCTGAATGTTTTAAAACAAAAAATACTATGAAAATTCTGAGTCAGAAATTAAAATAAGGAGATAAAGATAGTGACAGTTACCAATAAATAATGAGGTTATGACGTCGTAGTTCCAAAAATCGACTTATACTTTTTTAATACTTTCCTATTATAATTATAAATAAGACTTTGGCATAGTTATTTTTTTACCCCCGGATTCCAGTGCAACTCGGCGAACAGTACTAAGTTGGCGGCGGTGAGCGTCAGCCCGGAATTGGCCGCCGTTATAGATAACACAGCGCAACGGCACGTGCCAGAGTATTGAAACTTTTCCACCAAATCCTAACGAAAGACATAGGTTATAAGAATAAAATTATTTTTATCTACACTCAAATCGAAAAATTCGAATTACGAATTCAAAGACGATTCTATGAATACGCACTTTATAAACGCATATACATAAAATTGAAAATAAAATTCATTATAGTACCGCTATCTTTTGTATTCATTAAACTAGTCTATGGTTATAGGCTGAATATGAAAAAAAACACGCATGCGCAGTTAGAACTGTGAAAAAATGGCGCACGCATAAATTACTTCCTTGTAACCTAACTACTTAGTTTAATTTAAATTTTTCCTATGAGTGAAAATAAAGTAGTATATGAAACTGCATATACCTTAGGTATTAAAACATAAACGTACTCTCGTGTTTTAATACACCTTCTTATATGACAGTTGCATAAACTACTATTATTTACATTCACATCATAACATTATAACTATAAAAAAAAGATAGATAATTATTAACATAATTAATATATAATACTATATATAGATGTGTAGGTATATTGTGTGACAGCCAATTAGGATCCTGTCTCAGCTTATGTCGCTACTTCATCACAATTAGCTGGTATTATGGCAGTGCCTATCTAGTGACGTGATACTAATAGTAAAAAAAAAATCATATATTTTTAAGTAGTTACCATTATTAGTTTCTTATTAAAAAAAAAAACAAATATCAACGGTCCCATATAAAAAAGTTATCCAAATAAACTTACTGAAATTACTTTTTAACCGTCCAACATTTTTGTATCTACCACTCATTCAGAACGTATTTTGACTGATAAGAAACGAGCGAAAGATGTAAACGAAAGTTACGTATGTGGAAATTAATTTATTGAAGACGTAAAACTGCATGTTCTTAAGGACGAACTAAAAAAATAATTGGTGACTAATAATACTGCACATTATTAGGTGGGCATTGTTTGCAAACCTAGAATCACATCCAGTGTAAAAAAATATATAATTTTAATTTTAACTCTTTTTCAGAACAATTATGGCAATTGATTTGAATTGTTTCGCAAAAGCAATGCAAACCTTTTGCATATATGAATAATTGAAGATCATCGGGTACAGAGTTCACAACTACAAAGAGTGTTGCAGTTGTGCACTGAATAAATGTATATTGAACTAACTGTGCCTGCGACTTCGTCCGCGCGGAAAGTAGTCCCGTTAAAATCCGTCCAATCGTTTCAGAGATTAGACGAAACAAACAGACAGACAGATAAAACAAATACTTTGTAACTTACATAACTAACATTATGTTTAAATTCTCAATTAAGAAACCGGGTGGTCCCGTTTTTTTACCCATCTGATACGGAAACCTAAAAACATTAAGTGCTAGCAGAAATATACTGTAATTGGCGAAAGAATATTGAAAAAACGTTTTCTTACTGCTCTCGCGGCGGGCGGCGTACTTCCAACTATAGAAATATAATTAACACCGCATTGGTCCAATGTCTCACATACAGCATCTATTACAACGCGGTGATGTGCAAACACCAAGAACTTGCCCGTCGTCATCTCAGACAACACCTGCTTTATGTACTTGCTATAACAATATAACTTAATATTAGATACACAACATAGCATTCATTAGAAAAATTCTCTTTTTGTATAGAAGTCTGAAACAACGAAGGTGTTACTGAACCGATATATAAAAGTTCATTTCCTATATTGACACGACCGGAAATCAAACCTGGGGCCTTTTGAAATGGGCGTACCAGCATCGTCAAAAATACAGTCAAGTCACAACATCGTTCGCACAGTAAAACCTAATTAGTCCTACGCGTCGTGGATCTTCATTTGGACAGACAGATCTACCTATTTATCAGATAAACCGACTTGAAAAATAACTTAACAAAAGTGAAAATAAATTTAAGTCGGGTGGGGATTTGGTGTAGGATATTAATATTAAATTTAATTATTCAACCAAATGAGGCTCATTGCGATCAAATTAGTAATCATATAGATAAAGACGACATTCATAAATTGCGTCACATCAGAACAATATTTATTAGATTGTTATGGATGAGATGTGAAAGAGGGGGTGAGGGGCATTAAAAACATAATTTTATTCGTGTAACAAAATTACATAAATGATGGATTGCCCCTAACCCTTTTTTTAAGTCGATTAAAAAATAATTTTGGTCACGCAGCACAACAGGTTAATTGAGATCGCCTTTGACCAGATGCGCCGTGGAACGTAAACTTAATATGGATTTATTAAAAATTACATACCAGATAGCGGGTATTTTGATCTTAGCGGACTCGCTGAAGAAGGTGACGAGTGCCGCGTGCCGTTCAGCGGCACGTGCGTTCTTACACGCTTCGGCCATCTGCGTTAATTCGGGCTGTACCGCCATCGAAGAGTCCAATAATACCGTCTCCCTAACATAATTGTCACGATTTATATTATAGAGTCACACATATAACATTGTAAATAACGGACCCGTGAACATTTTCCAGTAAGCATTCGTCTAAAATAAATAGGGGTCGGCAACCTTTTAAGACTGAAGAGTCGAAAGTTAATTTATTTCCAATGTCATAGATATTAAGTAGCCTTATAAAATATTTTCTAATAATAAAATGGTTTTTAAGAGTTATATTTATTGACGAAAACCTAATTCCTTCTTGCTACAATACGTAGTTTACACAGAATAATAAAAAATGCAATAATACAACTAAAATTATAGAATGATAAATGGTTACTTCGATGGGAGACAATTTTAAGGGTTTTAAGGGTTGTCAACGCCTGACATTTAAAATTGATAGCTTTCATATTGGAGTTTTAGGAACAATTTAAAAAACTTGATTAGTGAATCTTGCATTGATAGTGCTATATTAAGTGTCTGTCTCATTAGATCTGTGACTCTATAGCAAAACTGAAGCCCTAATTTATATGTCAAAATAAAGTCCTGAATCATGTCCGGTTGACAGTGACAGAATTGAATTTGGGTTAACTAATCCTAGATCAATCAAAGCTTCGAACTATGAATTAAGCAGTAGAAATCACTGATCATTTAAATGGCTAGATAAAGGAGGGGAGGCCTACACATATTCACGACAATATAACGGGGACTATAACATGAGCTTTTAATGTAATATTTTGAATTAGACCTGAGCTAGCACCACTCAGCCACCACTTTTGAAAACTAGGTATCTGTAGTTTCGGTATTTCGAACCGAAAGTTTTTTCGGTAGCTCGTAAAAAGTTAAAAAGCTATTGACGTTTTTACTGACCTAGTTTTCTCCTCGAGTTGAGTAAGCACCTGCTCCTTGGTCCGCCTGATGAGGAATCTTTTCTGCAGGATGACTTGAAGTTCAGCTAGATTGGACTGACCCGACATATCCCATCCAAACGATGTCTGCTTGCCTGCGCAATACCGCTTACCTAACACATAAAACAATAATGAGGTCTATTACACATAATATAACCTCCATTCCAAACTAAATGTACCAGGACTGAAGAAGTAGTAGTAGCTACTTAAAATCACTCAATTAACTATTCAGTCATCCTATTCGTCAGGTGTGTGACAAATCTCAATATCTCGTTTTATTAAATAAGTATTTATTTTAATTTTCAATCATTTTTATCTTAAAAGAGGAGAAAGACTATAAGTTCAATAATTCTAAAGAAGTGAACGGAAATAACAAATATTTCCGTGATTAATTGATTAGAAAAAGATTCAAATCAAATCATAAATTAGATTAGATTAGATTAGATTAGATTAGATTAGATTAGATTAGATTAGATTAGATTAGATTAAATTAAATTAAATTAAATTAAATAATTGGCATCTCTTAGTAGTTCATTACATAATTAACAATAAATTCATCAAGTGAAACACAACAACAATTAATTTACAACACAATAATCAAATGTCATACCAATAAAATAAAATGAAATCATACAATAATCTAAAGCATTACTTAAAATGACAGTATATTCAAAATATTTTATTAAAGTAATTATGAATATAACTCAAATGTCAGTGTCACTTAAAAACTCGTTGAGGCTGTAATAAATAAGACTTTTGTAATTTTTTTTTTAGGCTTGATTATACAGTAATATATTATCTACCTGTTTTAGGTGCTTAGGCAATTTATTATATATTTTAGTAGCAATACCGTTTATATTAATACAGTTTTATGTGGCATTTGACGTAATAAGTCCTTATGTCGTTCAAATAAAAAATTGTTATACGATTACACTTTTTTGTGCTTTAAAGATTATGTCTTTATTAGATGAATGTCCCCAAAAAAGAATTCCATATCTTAATACTGAAGTTACGTATCCTTGGTATGTCGTTAATAGCGCATATCGATCAGCAACCTTATTTAGCATATATAAAGTATACGAACATTTATTCAATTTTTCACCAACATAGTTAAAATGGTTCTCCCAAGTCATATTGTTTTCAATACGAGGGTCAAACTGAAAGTTCTTAGAACTGGCCACTTATAAACAATATAATAAAAAAATAATTCTAAAATTTGAAAATATAACTCTTTGCCAATATTACTGAGTATATATTTCATTCATTTGTCATTTGTTTTACGATTTGGCGGCAAATTGAAAATTGTCTGTGTCACGTCATCATGAATTTAACACGAGAAAATTTTCGTGCAATGATTTTTTATGACTTTCGATGTCATTTAAGTCAACAAGAAAGTTATGATAGACTACGATTGGCCTTTCACGATGAAGCCCCATCTCGTGCGACTGTTTACAACTGGTTTAATGAGTTTAAACGTGGTCGCACTAATCTCACTGATGATTTACGTGAGGGACGGCCTTCTACGGCGACGACTGAAGATAACATCTGTGTTGTGCGGCGTATGATAGAGACTGACAAAAGAGTGACCTATCAACAGATTCGGACAAGCTTAGGCATCGGTATGAGTCAAGTGCACAAAATCCTCCACGAACATTTAGCGGTCATGAAGCTTTGCGCCCGGTGGATACCTCATAATTTGACTGAGGCTCAAAAACTCCATCGTGTGGATTGGTGTCGTAAAATGATTGAAAGATTTAACGGAGGTGACTCAAATGCTGTGTTCGACATACTAACAGGTGACGAAAGCTGGATTTACTGTTATGATCCTAAAACCAAAAGACAATCTGCTCAGTGGGTGTTTCCTTTCGAGGAGTTGCCAACTAAAGTGAAGAGAGATCGAAGTGCGGGAAAAAAAATGGTGGCCTCGTTCTTTGGAAGGATAGGTCATTTTGCAACAATTGTGTTAGAGGATCAAAAACATTTTCTGCAGAATGGTACACTACCAATTGTTTGCCACTTGTCTTGGAAAAAGTTCGAGAGAAACGACCTCGCAGTAGGATCCTCCTTCACCACGACAACGCCTCGTCGCACACCGCCAAGCGAACGATCGACTATTTGGCGACATCAAACGTTGAATTACTGGGTCACCCGCCGTATAGCCCCGACCTCGCGCCTTGTGATTTTTATTTATTTCCAAAAATTAAAGAAAAACTTAAAGGAAAGCGGTTTATGAATGCTGAAGAAGCGGTGGCTGCGTATCGCGATGCCATTGAAGAGACCCCTAAGGACGAGTGGGCAAAGTGCTTTTCCCCGTGGTTCCATCGCATGCAGCGGTGTATTGACGTGAATGGACAATATTTTGAAAAGATATAATAAAACTAATAACTGGCTAATGTAATCAGTTTTTGATTTTCTAAGAACTTTCAGTTTGACCCTCGTATATATGCCAAGAAACTTAGCATTATTTATTTCCTCTATTTGTATCCCTGAGTGTTTTATTTGAATACCAACCATTTTTTATTATTCTTAACATTAATGAATTTGGTTTTATATAAATTTATTATCAGTTTATAACCTTCTACCTTCTTTATTTTGTTCGACTCGTAATTGATAGCATTTTCGTAATCAATGTACTGTCATTTTCAAACATCACCAGCGGACGCTGTATGGATTTTGGAAGATCATTTATGTATATAAGAAAAAGTAACAGTCCTAATACCTAAAACCTTGAGGAACGCCACATCTTTCTCAGTCAAGAAGAATTCTTTCATTTCAAATTTGGTTTTATTTTAGCAAAAATCAATATCAACGCAATTGGTCTATAATTACTGAAGTCATAAATAATGATTTACTACTATCAGTCGTGAAGATATTATTATATTTTATATTATTTATGGATGTCAGATCCAGATCAATAACAAAAATCATTAAAAGTTTCTGCAATAAGTTCAGGATTAGATTGCATTAAAGTAAGTATACAACAACAAATAGTACACATTGACAAGAATAAAACAATTGAAACAATAGTCTGAAACTAAATAAAAAAGTATATGAAGGAAACACTTATACAAAAGGGCCTGGAATTTAATTCTGAGTTTAGATGTACTGCATAATATGATAACACCTTATTTTGACAAGATTAAAAGTAAAGCCACATTAAATTGATACTTATTAACGCTTATCACATATTTACAAAATTAAATTAAATATATACTTCAATATGTAAAATTTTCATCATACCATATGATACAATATATCTATATTTTCTTTAATAAATAAAATAGAAACATCATATTCGAATACTAACCATCTATTATAAAACTAAGACTAATTTTAGTACCACGTTTAATCCATTATCCGACGTTAACACATCTCAATTTGACGTTTCCCCTTTCTCAATTTTTAATTTACTTTAGGAGACTATGGTTTAAACCAAGTACCAACTTTAGTCCTTGTTTTATTTAAATGAAGACGGCATATGTCATCTATAAGTAGGATTACCATATCTTAGGATTGCGGTCGGATTTTGTAAATCTCAGGATTTTTTTTTTTTATATAAATATAGCACATTTTAAGAACTTAATAAAATGTTACAAAATTTAAATATAATCTACCTAGCTTAGCGACGAGATCTGCAGTGGTTAAAAATAATAATAATTTTACTTTTTTTAAATTGCTAAAAATCTCATCAGAATCTCAGGATTTTTCAATTGAAATCAGGTCTTTTCTCCGAACCTTTGATTAATCATATGGTAACCCTATCTCTGAGCGGCTTACTCGAACGCGAACGCGAACGCGTATAATATGTATTAGGGCTGATAAGATGCTAACCGTACTCTGTGTATGAGGGGAAGAGGGTCGGTTCTATTAGTGCCAGTTGCGTGTAAAGTTCAGCGGGGCGGCTGAGAGCGGGAGTGCCGCTCAGCAGAACGACGCGCGCGCATTGACGCGTGATACCGCGCAACGCTACTGTACACTGCGCCTTATGTGACTTCAGGTAATGAGACTCGTCCTAATGATGGGTGAATAGATCCTTTATTCAATATACTATCTATTCAAGAAAAAAATATATATGCAAGAAAAAATAAAACGTTTTCTCTATTTCGAACAATTCAAGAGTATTTATTCATTATAAGAAAACGAAAATAAAAATTTTAGTAAGCTAAATGTACTTACGATAATAACGAACCCAAACTTTTTATTTTTCAACAAATCTGTATGCATACTTGTGATCTTGTAACTGACTATCACTATCTCCGTCTATAAACAATTGTGTTGGATTATGATTTTGCTATTGGAAACACTATAATAAAAGGGTTGGTGTAAAGTAATGGTCTTATATAAAACAAGGACCAAGGTATCATTTTGTTTAGAATGTAGAATATAATGGTTTTTGTAAATCAAAAATGAATAACAGAAGAAAAAACGACAAATAGAGACGGTCGGATATTTTGATCGGATGATTGTTTAACCTGGTTCTAAAGTTAGTCCTCGTTTTATAAGAGGGCTAGTGTTTACTAATAGAACTCTATCATTGAAGCTGTCATGCATGATAATCTGAAAATCCAGTGGTTCAAAAATGTTCGCAAAATGACACCACAACGACAGGCGATAAGTGGTAGGATTTAGACCAGGAGTTGGTCAGGCAGACCGCGATCACCCTGTAGCAACTCCTGGCCTACATCCTACAGTTGGATAAAAAAAATATTACCCTATATCATTGTGATAAAAACATTAGGAATCCATTTATGTTGACAACTTTCTTAATAAAAATCGGACATTTCAACTAACAGTCTTATTCTATCACCTGACGATCTGCAACGAGTTGCGCGTCTTTTCCAGTGGTAAGGGTCACTATATTCATCAACGGTACAGATGGTAACAACTCGTGTATTTTACTCTGCCAAGTTTCTCTGTAACGATACAAAAAAAAAACTTTAGCAGCAACTGGCTGACCGTAAAATTTCTTTTGAAAACTAATTAAGTTATTCGAATCATTTATTTTACTTTTGATGGCAGGAAAATTATGTATTATTTTATAGCTTTCCACCAGCTGCTTTGCCGCCGAGGTCATGTATTATACATAATAAACCTTCCTATTAAATCACTCCATATATTTATGGATAGCAGCATTAAATACCTTGTGTAGTTTAAAAGATCATAACGTACGTCTGTCAAGCGAGAAGCGACTTTTGTTTATACTATGTATACCTAGTTATATGAAAATCTTTCTAAATACCAATTGATTGGCAAAACATATAAAATTAATCCTATTTAAAAAAACGAAACGAAACTACAACTCCCGTAAAATAACACTCGCGTGACGTCATTTGAAAATAGAAAGTATAGATATTACAAAAGGCAGATAAATTAATTATTGAAAGATGATATATTTATGAAAAATGCCCAAAATATTATTTTAATAAATTTTAGTTTCCTAATTTATTGCATGAATTTTTGAAGGTAGCCATGTTCTTATTTATAAAAAGTAATAAGTTTAATTCTTAATTGTAAATTATAATGTGTGTAAAGATAATAGATAAGTTTTACAATTGTACTGTTGTCTAAATTAAAAACCTCCTACCAAACAGGGGATCAGACAACTTTCTAAAAACAGTTTTAAAATAGGTAATATGTGTGCTTATTCCTAGATTTTTTTTTATGTAAACCTTATTATGTACCCCAAACAATGTTTAAAATTTAATTGTTTAAATAAATCGCGTAAACGGCGATTCCGAGGATGTGACAAAAGCAAGTTACAATCAAATGATTGTAACTTGCTTAAAAACAAGTATATCCTTAAAATCGTTTTGAATGTTTTCCAAGATTTTAATGGATAATTATACTTTAAATTTACCCTTAAATGACTACAATTATTGGAAAACTTATTTTTGTTGATTGATTTAAAAATATAAATAATTATTTTTAAGCCAAAACACTATTTACTACACACAATTTAATTTTTATCAAATTACTGTCCGGTCCCCTATTATCAATGTATATGATCGATCACACATATATTTTACTAAGAAAAATAAAATTGACAATGCGAGTCCATACTTAAACAGTTCCAGCTCAGTTGTGAATATTATCAGAAAATATACTCTGTGGTAATATGTTCCTTGGTTGTTGGAGTGTTCAAACGAATTCAAAACGATGTGTTATCTTGTACCAGTAATTTTAAACTGAATGAAGAGGACATTATTTTGTGTCCATAATAGATTGCTGCAGACGTTATTTTCCAATGAACGAGTGATCCATCGACACAAATTGATATTATTCGGATTCTCTCTCTCCTCCTTACTCTCCTTTATTTTGTACAAATTCCTGTTACTTGAGTCTATTTTACTAAGTATTTTACCAGATGGTGCCTTATAAGAGTATTGTTTTAGTTTGCGAAGCGTTATCTATTGTATTGTTGATCAAAGATTAAAAGTAAAATAAATAGTTGCCATTCCAATATTTTATTGAAGTTTTAAAAAATATAGGCTAATATTCTTAGGGCAGTTTATAACAAACTAAGTAGAACAATATCTATATTCCGAATACAACTCACCTCATAGATGATGTAGTAACAATGAGCAATGGCCAATTGTGTCTATAATAGCTGGCAATTGCAAGAGCCTGAAATGTTTTACCCAAGCCCATGTCATCAGCTATCATGCAGCGGCCACGACGTGAAATACCAAATCTGGGCGAAGACAAATTATTAAATTACAATAATACAATTAAAATGAAAAATTTATTCCACGTCATTAAACTTGTTTTAATAACAATGGTTGTAAAATACAACAATCGGCCGAAGACGTTCTACTTAAATCGTTATGATTGGCTGACATTTGTCGTGCTTCGAAATGTAGCCTTCTGCGCAGGTAACTACATCGATGATAACACTGTATTATCAATGACGGTCGGTGGCTGATGCTCAAGTTACATTTAGATGACAAATTAGTCAAAAATAAAGTCAAATCATATTACAGTAAAGAAATAAACTAAATAACATATCTCACCTCGCCCCTTCTTCTTGGAATGGCATCAGTTTATTTCTAAGTGTGGCCTCAATAGGAGATAAATCAACACTATTTGGGTCTACAGTATGGTCTTGAAGAACCTAAAATCAAAAGATTATTTAATGAAAAAATCTTATTGAATATCTAATAATAATTCTTATCTACGTGGTATTTACACCTTTTATACTTGAAAATGAACTCTAATTTCTTATCCCTTTGTAAGTTTTAGGGTATATTAAAAGTAACTATTACCTTTAAGACATATGTTGGAAGTCCACCCAACACAACATAAGGTGCTAAAGAAGCTGCTTGTTTCATCAGTTCATGGTAATCTTTAATTGAAAAGCTCCAAAGTTTTGTATTTGAATCTAAAAACAAAATTAAAGCTATTAATTATTTATTACAATTTTTCTGCCACCAATTTACTAATTTTTAAATAAACAAATACTATATCTCTCCCGACCATGTTCAGTCACAGCGACTAGCATCCAACTATTTAGTTAGAGCTTCGTTGATGTTCTCTCATATGACTGATGTAACCAATTTTTACAGTGCATGTGCGAGTATATATAATAATATACTCTTCAAGTCAGTACACCTATGAATCCGGAATTGTGCTGCCTTGTAATCTCTCTATAATTTCAATATCTTTCAAATTATTAGAAGTGGCTGTAGGTAATACCTAAAGCTTATCCTGCTTAACATCGAGCTCTTTCCTTCACATTCTCTCAAATTTAAACACCTTAGTGCTTAGTGAATCGGTAATATCAAAAGGTTTTATGACTGTCTCACGAAATCTGAGATTCTGCCAGTTTCTTACACTGTGACGAGTCTAGGTCACATCTATTCATGTGGCCTCAGAATGTCACTGTGAAGCAATCATTGACCCCCTTGCTTTCACTTGTGTATAAAAAAGTTACACTTACTCTGTGACTATACGCATTTATAAATTATCAATTATCAAATAAATTACCAAAGGATATTAATAATGTTATTAAGTTTAGATTCCAAATGGATTAAAAAATATTATTCAATTAATGAATTCTTGCAAAATAAATCTCATTAATGAATCCTTTGATTATAATATGAACCTATTGTATTTTATATGACTATGATGTTCCCTATTTTTAATGTAATTTATTTTTATATTTAAAAACTTGTAATTTTTTATATAAAATCATGCAATTTATTGTATTTTAACTTCTTGACAATAAAATAAGCTGATCTTAAATTGTTATACTATCATTTTACCCCTTTGAAAGTGATGATGAAATAGGTAAAACCTTTAGCAGTTTTTAAATTAAATGTTGACTTTTATAATGGCATATTCCCGTTAGTCGATAAGCCCCACATGCATAATGTGAGTGATAAACTCTTTCAGTTTCAGTCAAACACTAATACAGATAAGTACAAAAATAAACAGTGTTAATCTGCACTATCATGCAGGTACTATTGACCTATGTAAATGAGCTTGTACTAGTTAGTAAATCCATAAGAGTGAATGAATGACTGTCTAAGCACAGATATCGCCGCACACCGCATGCGGGCCCTATCGACCAATGTAAATGAGCTTGCAGTAGTGGATAATCCAATGACAGGCAATGATTGCCTACTGAAAATAAGCACAGAAATATTCCGCATTCTGCATGCAGGCCCTATCAACCATTGTAAATGACTTTGCATTAGTTGGTAAACCTTGGAACCCTTATAGATTCCTCAACGTCTCTGTCTGTGCATGCACCAGTACATCACAGCCACTTTATTCCGAAACTATTAGCATAGATAATAGTTAGAAGGTATCTTTTTGGTCTGTTTTGTAGTTTAACTTAGGACCCACATATTGGGATTTTTTATGTAGATGCATTCTATTTTTATTTGGGGGGAAAATGTTACTCGAGTCCGTAGGATACTCCATTTTTCCTAAGAAACACCCTACACGTGCCCCCTGGGTGGTGCCAAAGAGTAACAACGCCGAGTCTTGGGCGGCGATCAATTAATTCGATCTAGCAGACCTAAGACGTTTATATATGTTGGAGGTAGGAAATGACCCCAACAACTCGGTCTTGCGGTCATGTCTCGTAAGGCTGAGGGTTCGACCTTAATTGTTTGAACCAAGAGGAAGAATACCTCAATAAAAAAATACCCTAATCCCAGTGGTGAAGAATGTGCCGAAGGGATGCATGGCTGGAAGGAGAGAGACAAGATGACCAAGGAACAACAACCACCTCCATGGCAACGAGTTCCAGCATCGAAAAAGCGCAAGATACGTGACCAATCACAACCGCCAACCTCCATGCAATCAATTTGCCAACCTTCCAGTAGACTCCTTGGAATCTAAAAACCAAGCCAACCAAACCACCTCCCATCGTGTTATATGGGATAAAGGACTTGAATGAACTAACAAAACTAATGCAATTGGTTGTTCAACTTAGTGATTTCAAATTCAAAATTATTAATAAAAACCTAATGCGCTTATCCTTAAATACTGTAGAAAACTACAAATAAGTGATAAACTTGATTCGGCGGAAAGGATTGATTGGACATACGTTCTCACAAAAGGATAAAAGATGTCACCGAATAGTGATAAAAAACCTCCATCACACCACACCACATGATGCCATTATTCAAGAAATTGAAAAATACGGCAATAAAGTTAAAGGTGAAATAATCAACTGTCGATATGGGCCAGATAAAAAGCCAACCTCAACATTTTTTGATTTAGAACCCAGCAATAACAATAAACTGGTCAAAGATATTAAATATATTTACCACCAACATGTAAAAATTGAGGACCCATGCAAGAGTAAAACAATAGTCCAATGTCAACGTTGCCAGCAGTATGGTCATAGCAAGAATAACTGCGAAGAAAGAATAACCTTATAGATGTGTAAAATGCGGAGAGAGTCACAAAACTTCTGACTGTCCCAAGAAAGATAGAAACACTCCAGCTAAATGCGCCCTCTGCTTCTGTGATCATCCCGCAAACTACAAAGGTTGTCAGGTATATAAGGAAATTCTCAGCCGTAAAACCAAACCTAAAAAGACCCCGATAAATGCTTATGTAGCCAGAAATATACCTAATACTGAGCAAACGAAAAACAACAGTAGCAATTAAAATCCTTCCACAACTTTATTAAGATCTACAAACCAACTCACCTATGCTGAAGTTATCTCAGGTCAGCCCAGAAAACTGTTTAGCAACAATCAGGAACAAAAAGATGACTCTACTGATCAATTTAAGATTTTTGAACATCTCTTAACAAAACAGAATGAGAAATTGAGTTCCTCCTTCAACAAATCAGTAATCAGTGGGCCTACTGACTACAGTGATTACCAAGCTATCACTGTAAAAGAGCTCATGCTGAGGATTGCAACATGGAATATTAATGGACTGTCACCTAACATGCAAGAACTTGAGATTCTAATCCATACAAACAATCTCGATGTGCTTCAGATATTAAAACCACTTTATGGTGATAGCTTGGTAATCACTGTAGTCAGTAGGCCCACTGATTACTGATTTGTTGAAGGAGGAACTCAATTTCTCATTCTATTTTGTTCTTGAATAATGGCATCATGTGGTATGGTGTGATGGAGGTTTTTTATCACTATTCGGTGACATCTTTTATCCTTTTGTTAGAACGTATGTCCAATCAATCCCTTCCGCCGAATCAAGTCTATCACTAATTTGTAGTTTTCTACAGTATTTAAGGATAAGCGCATTAGGTTTATATTAATAATTTTGAATTTGAAATCACTAAGTTGAACAACCAATTGCATTAGTTTTGTTAGTTCATTCAAGTCCTCTATCCCATATAACACGATGGGAGGTGGTTTGGTTGGCTGATTAGGTTGGTTTTCAAATTCCAAGGAGTCTACTGGAAGGTTGGCAAATTGATTGCATGGAGGTTGGCGGTTGTGATTGGTCACGTATCTTGCGCTTTTTCGATGCTGGAACTCGTTGCCATGGAGATGGTTGTTGTTCCTTGGTCATCTTGTCTCTCTCCTTCCAGCCATGCATCCCTTCGGCACATTCCTCACCACTGGGATTAGGGTAATTTTTTATTGAGGTATTCTTCCTCTTGGTTCAAACAATTAAGGTCGAACCCTCAGCCTTACGAGACATAGCCGCAAGACCGAGTTGTTGGGGTCATTTCCTACCTCCAACATATACAAACTTCTTAGGTCTGCTAGATCGAATTAATTGATCGCCGCCCAAGACTCGGCGTTGTTACTCTTAGCACCACCCAGGGGGCACGTGTAGGGTGTTTCTAAGAAAAATGGAGTATCCTACGGACTCGAGTAACATTTGCCCCCCAAATAAAAATAGAATGCATCTACATAAAAAATCCCAATATGTGGGTCCTAAGTCAAACTACAAAACAGACCAAAAAGATACCTTCTAACTATTATTTATGCTAATACTTTCGGAATAAAGTGGCTGTGATGTACTGGTGCATGCACAGACAGAGACATTGAAGAATCTATAAGGGTTCCAAGGTTTACCAACTAATGCAAACTCATTTACAATGGTTGATAGGGCCTGATGCAGAATGCAGAATATTTCTGTGCTTATTTTCAGAAGGCAATCATTGCCTGTCATTGGATTATCCACTACTACAAGCTCATTTACATTGGTCGATAGGGCCCGCATGCGGTGTGCGGCGATATCTGTGCTTAGACAGTCATTCATTCGCTCTTATGGATTTACTAACTAGTACAAGCTCATTTACATAGGTCAATAGTACCTGCATGATAGTGCAGATTAACACTGTTTATTTTTGTACTTATCTGTATTAGTGTTTGACTGAAACTGAAAGAGTTTATCACTCACATTATGCATGTGGGGCTTATCGACTAACGGGTATATGCCATTATAAAAGTCAAAATTTGATTTAAAAACTGCTAAAGGTTTTACCTATTTCATCATCACTTTCAAAGGGGTAAAATGATAGTATAACAATAGTAGATTATAAGTGCCCTCCATTGAGTAAGAAACGAAAATGAGACTATAAGATGCGAATCAAAATTATTCTAGCAAGCGCAACTTCAAAGTTTCATAACTTTTTATTTATGTAAATACTAAAGAATTCTTTTCACTGTATTTTTTTTATTCTTTCATTTAAAATAGAAAAAATGAAAACTTTGGCTGTTGCAAATGCCTAAATAATAAAAAAATATAATATAATTTTTATGCAATATTGGTGGATTTATGTAAATGGAAACATGCCATAAAATAAAATAAGATGGTAAAGAAATACTCATCTTTAACACTACTAACCATAATTCTTAGATGGTATTCTCTTGAAAATATTAATGAGTGGTGAACAAAACTCTGAAGGGTTTACTTCAAATCGATCTTCAGATATCAAATATACTGTACCACTTATAACTTTTCCCGTAGGTACAAAGGTGTTTTGAGTTTGAATATTGTTTTCAGCCTTTTGTTTGGCATACGGATGAAAGGTTTTATTATTATTGGCTGTAATGCTCTTGAAAATTCCGCTGGTAGAGGCTGGACTCGTCTCATGAACTGTTGTTTTAAATAAAGTGTTCGGCTGGGGTTGTAGTTTACTTTGTCGTTTTTGTAAAGCAGCCAGGCGCTTTTTCTCAATCTCTTCTTTTGTACAAGACATTGCAAATTAATAATGAATAGTTGTTTTGCTTTATTTAACCCTTTATTTATTTATACACATCACAGAAAAAAAAAACTGAAAAAACGGAAAAACCGCAATGAGCACATACCGCTCTTTGCATGTTGTTCTTCTTCTTCTTTTTAATTAATGGCGATGCCTATATAGTTTGTGTTGAAAACTATTTTCCTAATATTTTATTTCATAAATTAAGAAGACAAAAAGCATAGCTTATACAGCCTTTTCTCTGATGTATATATTTCTTTTCTTTACCTTTCAGAGTAAACAAACAATATCCATCTACAATGATATTAATATGTCTAGATACGCAATACATACCAAAAATCTGAAGCTACTAAAACTAAGACGTTTGTCTTAGTTTTTTCGTTTTGCACTTCATTACTCATTCAACTCCCGCCAAGAAAGTACAAAAAAAATGCTCCGTAAAAACAAAGAAAAACAGTAGATAAAATTCGATTCTCTTTCACAAATACACATAATACGAAAGAATATTAAGTTTCACACTTAAGTCATTAACAATTAAAGCTAGGTTATAAAATAAAAATATTTAATTTTTTTCAAATAAAATTTCGACATTTTGTCGTCAGTGTTGCCACTGCTATTCACTTTCAATTTTCCCAAGAATATGGGAACCTTTTCTTTTTAATTAACGTGGCTATAATTTATCTAAATATCTTTTTATAATTAATTATATAGCTCAGCTTAAGGCAACTGCGCTAATTTTTTTATTCATGCACACAGATGCTAATGTGGTTTAATTTTTTCAATGCGTGGAATAATTCGTTAGTTGTCGAGATACAACTTTTGAAAATACGTAAAATAGTTTGTTTGATGTTTTATGAACTTTGACAAATGTTTTTGTCTTAACCACTAACTTTATCGAAAAACAAAGGGATATATATGCACAGAGCCTACTTTCGTAATTGTTTTTTTTTCAAAGTTTTTGCAAACAAGTTTTCAATTCTACTAATTGATTTTATACATAAATCTACACTACTCGTTCATTCATTCATTCATCACAATGGGTGAAATTTGCGACATTCTGTCTTTGTTTAATTTAAAGTTTAATCTTAGATATGAGGGAGATAAATATAATAAATCTATTTATATTATATAGTATAAATATTATTTGCAAAGCTACGTCCTGATTTCGGAAAAGTGCTACGCTTTTTGGCGCGTCTGTTGTATGGGATTGATATCCATCTATACAGCCCCGTTATTTCCAGAGATTTTTTAATCGAGGAGAAGATCGAGGACATGTGTGTAAAAAAAAAACATACAAAACTGTTTACCGTTCACCGTAAACTAGTCTAAACACAATTTTTTTCGATTAGTTTATGTCGTAGACGGACTGAACGGAATGAGAAACTGTGTTGAAGTAACTAGTTTAGCTGACGTAGTGCATGGAACGGTTTTCAAAATAAATTGATTAGATTACTAGTTGTCGTCGACGTTACAACTGTATAGTAAGTATTTTTTCATTCTTATTATTGTTAAAGTTCAGAATTATTATTTATTCTGAACTTTAACAATAATATATTATTTATTTTTTTGTTATAATTATTGATTTATTTGATTATTATAATTAAAAATATATTGTAATTATTTATTAACAAATTAGTATGTTTTTGCCTTTATCGACCAAATTAGTCAAAATAATGATAACAAAATCAAAGAAAATAAAAAGTAATATGCTACTTGCATAATTTTACCTTAAACTCAAAGTTTCAAAAGTATATATGCCATCACCTACATACACCATTAGCGTCATTTTAATGAGGAAGTATTTAAAAAAATATTAGTCCCCGAAATACAACTAGATGTCGCTACGATACTTTCTTGATTTCTCCATGACAACCCTGCCGGTTTTCTTTCATTTGCAAAAGTAAATTAGTTTTCAAATCTCAATACTCATACTCTATTTGAACATTTTCGTATTTGTATTGATATCTAAGTTTAGAACTTTGGAAATTTCAGTTCTTAATATGTTAGTTTTTGGTCCATTCATTTCCTGCAAAAATCAACTTTTGCTAGAATCGTCGTTTTTGGTACTTTCTTGTTATTTTTAAACATTTCCTCATTCATCATCAGCCCTTTTACGTCCCCATTGCAGGGGCTCAGGCATTCCTTATGGATGGTTAAGGAGGATGGGCCATGACCCCCCACGCTGGCCCAATGCGGATTGGAGGGTATTAACGGCTGCAAATGCAGCCGGGACCAACGGCTTAACGTGCCTTCCGAAGCACGGAGTAGCTCGAGATAATAATTTTTGGTCACCCATCCCGTGACCAACCCTTACGAAAGTTGCTTAACGACAACGATCGCGGGCCGCGGTGCTTTTCCACTACGCCACCGAGCAACATTCCTCGTTACAAAATTCAAATGTGTATTTATGTCAAAAAAGTAATGTACTAGCAACTCTATACTCTTACGTAAATGTTTAATTTTAAAATGTTTTTAACGTAATCGAGTGAGCGAAATAGACAGCACGCTATAACAGAGAGAAATATAGTCGTCTCGCAGACCATTCGTGTCGCGTTAGACTATTCAAGCAATGCTTGCAACTTATGATCACGCACAAACCAGTTTATCAGTAGACCGTAAACTAGTCTATCAGTTGATTGATACCCAATAAACAGTATAAAAATGGTTTGTTCATTCAACACCACGCCTAGTATGTATCCGTAATTCTTGTTTGTATCTAAGGCTAGTGACAATCAGGGTTATCCGCACCTACATAGAAATACAAAATCCATTAGAATGAATAAGAATAAACCACAGCAAAAGAAAAAAAAGGCACGACACAGGTATGTGTTTCCGCCTTTAATTTTTGAGATTTGGACATTTGGACTTTGACACATTGACGTTAAATTTATCAACTCCATAGGAATACAAAATCCAATAGAATGAAAAAGAATACTCTGGTTTCCCTTCAAAACGCATAAACCAAAAGCAAAAGAAAAAGGGGCACGACACAGGTATGTGTTTCCGCCATTAACTTTTGAAATTTGGACTTTGACACATTGACGTTAAATTTATCAACAGTTTTCTAAAACTTGATAGACGGGATCTGGAGTATTGGTTTTTGTGATTTTTCATTCCTAAAATAAATCAATATGTCAGAAAATAGCAGCCCCGCAAAATATTTTTTAAGCGGTGGATTTGGTGGGGTATGCACAGTATTAGCAGGACATCCCATGGATACAGTAAAAGTGAGGCTTCAAACTATGCCAGTACCTCAACCAGGCGAAGTAGCCCTGTACGGTGGAACATGGGATTGCTTTAGGAAAACTGTCCAAAGAGAAGGCTTCAGAGGTCTTTATAAGGGTATGTCAGCGCCGCTCACTGGCGTGGCGCCAATTTTCGCTATTAGTTTCTTAGGGTTCGGGATAGGAAAAAAATTAGTGAAGAGCAATGAAGATGAAGCACTAACAAAGACACAGTTATTTACTGCAGGTGCTTTTTCAGGAATATTCACAACTTCTATTATGGCACCAGGTGAACGTATTAAATGCCTTTTACAGATACAACAAGGTGGAAATGTCCCACAGAAGTATAGTGGTATGGTTGACTGTGCTAAGCAACTCTATGCAGAGGGTGGTATAAGAAGTATTTATAAAGGTAGTGTTGCCACAATTCTAAGAGATGTCCCTGCTAGTGGCATGTATTTCATGACTTACGAGTGGGTGAAAGAGGTTTTAGTACCTACAGATGCCAGTGCCAAAATGAAAATATTGGCTACCATAGTAGCTGGAGGTTGTGCTGGCATTGCTAATTGGCTTGTAGCAATGCCTGCTGATGTATTGAAGAGTAGACTACAAACGGCCCCAGAAGGCACTTATCCTAATGGTATGAGAGATGTATTCAAACAGCTGATGGAACGGGAAGGGCCCAAAGCCCTCTACAAGGGTGTCACACCAGTGATGCTGAGAGCATTCCCTGCTAATGCAGCCTGCTTTATGGGTTTTGAAGTAGCTGTAAAATTCCTTGACTGGGTGGCTCCAAATCTTTGATACTACATAAATTTTAAGAGCAATAAATTGTATATTAAGTGTTACTATTGTTTAATGAAGTGTTATATGACATCATTGTACTGTTCAAACATTTTTTTTTTTTTAGCCAATGTTGATAATTGTTTATTATTACTGTGTGATGGTCGTAATATAAAAGTAATAATAGCACAAATTTTACATTATGTTAATAGGTCCACAATGTACCCAGGCTTTGATGAGTTAAATCACAATATTATATCATTTATTTATCCTTTATAGAGGTTTTTAGCTTAGTTTATGGAGCTGTATTTTTATCATCAAATAAGATAACATATGTAACATCAGATCTGTAAGCAAAGGATATAACTATGAAATGTTATAAAATAGGTATTATATATATTTTTTTTATAATAATTTGGAATTTTGTTATTTCTAGATATCATCATGCAATAATTTTTATAAAACAATAAGACATGAATAAATAATAAATTTATTAGATATTCTTACATTTATATTCTTCATTGAGTTAATTTAAAATGTTAATAGAATTGTCTTCTGAAATTAACTTCCATTTCTCTGTCATTTGAAGAATCTTTTATCATTATTTTTTTATTTGTAACTTTTATGGTTCCATTTTTTTCTCTAATATCTATTTTTTTCCTATGACCAAGACCTAATCTGTCTTTTTTTTGCACTGTCTTAATTGGGTACTTTGTCCCAATACCTTTGGGGCCCAAACCAGATTTTTTATCCCAGCCAACTTTTAGCATGATTTGAAATCCCTTATTTGTTTCAGGAATTATGTAATGAGATGGTATTTTTTTGCCTTTACTTAGGTTTAAATTGTGTATGGTTGAAGAAAAATGAGCATTTCTACTAGTATTCACTTTAAAATTGCATTGTTCACAAAAGAATTCTGTGATTTCTTCAAGATGTTTAGTATTATTAATATTATCATAATGATGGTCTTCCACCCTGTTTTTATGACTCAAAAGTAAATCGGCTATTACATAGTTTTTATTTTTAATAACAAGACTTTGAGCAGAGTTACCTGCCTTATCTCTAATAGAAGTGTCTATGCCCCTATTTAGTAATTCTCTAACAATGTTTGTGCTACTTGCTTGACAAGCTATCATCAGTAGACTCCAACCATATTCATCCAATCTGCTTAACATATCGGGACAGTTATCTAATGCCTGCTTCAATGTGTCAATATCGTCATTTTGAACAGATAAAAATAGATCTTTATCTGATATGTGCCTATCTGACAGTCCATGACTAGCACATTTTTCCTGCAGCAAGCTTGATGTGGGATTATCTTTTAGGTGTTCCTTGTTTCTCTCAGTCTCAGTAAGTTTAACTATACTGAGATATGTTCTTTTCGCTTCTTCACCATTAACTAGGATAGGTTTTTGAAAAGGTACTTGTTCAATACAAGAATTGCAAGATTTGACGAAATTACTGTAGTTTTTAAACATAGTAATGTAAAACAAGAGCCGAGTTATATTTCTTCGTACATATGATTATAAATTCAAACACTTTTAAAGTGAAAGTTAGATATAACCATCAGCCTCGAACAATCAATCAGAAATTTATCTTCTTTTTTATTTCTTGAAAATCATAAATTAAAACAAAAAAAGAAAATAAGATTATAATCACAGACTAGTAAGGAGACAATAATCACAGACCTAGTCCTAGAAACAACTAGTGATGCAACTATATATCGGAAACCAATACATATCCGATATATCAGTGCCCAAAAATTTCGATATCGAATATACCAACATATCGAACGAAATACTTGCAGTGCTACTTATAAACAAGGTTTAGCGTCAGAGTAAATTTACGCTAAAATTGCAATTTTAGTATTAGTCCATATTCATATTACACAGAGCATAAGCAAATCTACTACCTTCTAGGAGCAAATATTACTCCCGTAGAATCTCGTACTAGGTTAACCTTTGTTAAGCTCTGTTTAATAATATGAATTTTGAGTAATACGAAGAGCAGTCTCAGCGTAAATTTACTCCAACGCTAAACCTTGTTTACAAGTAGCACTGTAAGAGTATACCTATGTGATCGATATTAAAAAAGTAACGTGTGATTTATACATTATTTTTAACCCTAATATTTTGCTTTGAAATTAGTAGTACTTTTTATTATTATTATTTGTACTTAAGTTTTAAATAAAGTGTTAAATTCCCAATCTCATCGCAATCTATTTAAAGTAGCAGTAAGATATTTTCCCATTGTGACAATGAGCAAGCCTTATAAACGCATTTCTACAAAAGCAGCACGCAAAAATGACAAGATCAAGGAATGTTTTGTCTCCGCCAAACTCGTTTCTCTGTTCAAGAATATTGTATGGGCGCACTGAAGAAAGGTGACATTTAGGAACAGACAAAGTGCTCTCGAGTTCGTCATGCTACGCGTACAGGGTCCAACATTAAACGAAATAGGAACAGTCTTAATAGCCATGCAGTAACCGCTACCAATTAGACACTGAGTTTCAGATATATTTATGTTTAAAATGTATTTTTTTAATTAAATTTTTAAATTTATTTAATACCCAAAAGTACAACGATAATATCGATATATCAGTTTTGTGAAGGAATATATCGATCTTGCCACATCGACGGTAACCCATATATATCTAACTCGATATACTTATTGCTAGCCCATTATCGCATTCCGTAACGAAAATTATCATATTTTGAGTAAAAATCAACAAAATCTTTTTTGATTCGATTCATATGATTACTAATTTAAATCGATTTATATATTTTTTTAGGAATTAATAGCTATCCCTATTGACATTTATTGACATTTGTTTTATAAAGGCAAAGGTATCTTGTTGGTCACCCATTCTGTGAGATTCTTGTAAAAATAACTTAAATAACAACATCGCAGGCCACGGTGCTTATCCACTACACCATCAAGCTACTCCGAATATAATAAACATTGTTTTGTGCATAACACTACATTGTGTATGATAAAAAAAAATCAGTTTTTAACTCTACTTGATTATCACATAATAAATAAAACTTTATTTAATATATATATTACAACCTGTACTCACTTTTAAAATGGAAGTACCTAGAATGTTAGATTATGCTACTTGGTACATACAAGCTAGTCATGCTTGTAAAGTTTTCAAGAAAACTATGGAAATATGGTGAAATGGTTACTGACAGACATTTGAAAGGACAGAAAATACCCAAAAAAGGAATGAAAGTCCTATACTATATACTTTTACTCTTTGTGCTTGTGCTGCATTCAGATATCAAAGATAACAATAAAAGTAAAATAAAAAGTAGATTTATTAGATAACTAAACTTAATTATTGCAAATATTGTACTTAAAATTACTTACAATAACTTAGCAAATAAATTTGAATTTCACGTTCCAATTTCATATTAAATGTTGAAACTTCTGTAAAAACTTCTGCTTTCTCTGAGTAAAATAATTGTTATGATTACATTGAATATTTTATCAAGTAAGCTTTTAAATTACTTAGAATATGACTAAAACTGAGTACAAAATATTCCTCATTTATTTCTTATTTAGAAAGTTCTTTAGCAATAATTTTTAGTGCTTCAGTTTGTTCTTTCATTAATTTTAACTTTTGTTTTAAATAGTCCTTTTTATAATTTATGAAATCTTCTTTTAATTGAGTCCTTCTCTGTTCAATAGAAGCTAGAATGTCACAATTAAAAAAACAGTTACTCGAGTGTCTATCCCCTCTGGAGCTGGAATTCTTAACTTTTGGCTCTTTGTGTTCTGAAGCTCGGGCAAACACTTTTACTTCTGGAGGTGATTCTGGGTCACTATATGTTGGTGCAGATTCTGCTTCATTATTAAAATCTTCTTGGGTATCTTGGTCCAAAGGTACAAACTCTGTGGTTTCTTGATAGCTTGTTGTAGAAGAAACATTTTTTAAACCCAATGCTTCTTGTTCAGCTGGAGTAAGCATTATCACAGAAGGGGGAACTTCACCATTTATTTCAGCTTGTCTTTTCTTTGTCTTGGACCTCAAATCTTGCCAAGTCTGAAAATAATAATACTTTATATTTTTAATAAATCAAAATATCTTATTAATCAATCATTATTTCCACCTGCCAACTATTGTATAACTGTACAATGGTTTCATTAAATTTAATTTTGATTGGTATATTTATTTTTTATAAGTTTTACTTTTTTATTATTACTTTTAATAATGGAAACACAACCCAATATTCTTTTTGTTGTATTATCTAAACATGCCATTACCCAAGTCTTAAAATATAATAGCGAATACAATTCAGTTAAAGAATTTTTACTTTCAGGCATTATTACCTTCCTCCACTGACGCCAGGTTTTCCGTGCTCCCGGACCAGGTACGTTATTGCATTCGTTCGCGATGTTTTGCCACAGTTTTTGTGAGTCGCTGTAGTTGAAATCCTGTGTCACCTTGCAGGCAATCAGTTGTGGATGTTTCGTCACTAATTCTGCCAGTTTCTTCTTCTGTCTTGCTGTAACATACATGCCCCTTCGACGTTTTCTATCATCCATTATTCAAACAACATTCATTACAAAAACTTATCATCAAAGAAAAATATACCTGAGATATTCATCGCTTTGCATAAGTAAATATTCTTGTATATTAATGATGTTTTTAATTGGAACGAATGCAATGAAATATAAAATAAAGAACTTATCACAGATTATTATTCATAAAACAATTTGATTCTGGCAGTAGTTTCGTTTCGTCACAATTTGATTTTATTTTTCGATTTGTTTTTTAGTTTTTTTTAATCAGTGTCGCCAGTTTGAGTTTGCAGTTTCAATTTTACCTAAAGTAATTCTCTATGATTTTACCCGACTCGTATAGCTTTCCTAAATATAATAATACTCTTTGCGTATAGCTATATCGTAAATAATAATTATTTATATATACTTGTTTATAGTATACTATAAATAAGGTGAAACAAAAAATCATAACTGTGTATTCTATACAAAAAATAAGTATTATAAAAAAATGTAACTGGAAAATGACAAAAATTTTTTGACGTTCAAAAAAATTAAAATGTGCGGTACGTAATGTAACGCACACGGCAAACTGGAGTAAATCATCGTGAACATAACGTACATGCGTGCGGGCCATGTACGTTATGTTCATGATGTATGTATCGTATGATTATTTGTAGCACGCTAAACTTTATAACACGTTATTTATTTTATGTTGTATGTTAAACAGATTACGTGCTATATTAAACAATAACTCATTAAAATTTAGTCTAAATAGTTCGAAATAATTTATAGCAGTAATTATTAAATTAAAAGAAAATCGCTTTTATAATTTATTTACACACACAAACTTCTTTAAACATACACAGAATAACATATAATTGCCCTTCTTATTTAAAGTATTTAAAATATCGACTTTGTTAAAACAGAGGGGATAGAATCGCGCGTTTCGAGGCAAATATTTTTATGAATCTTTTGATCATTCAAAACTTTTGATCCAAAAGCGATTGCGACTTTAAATTCAGACCACTGCACAGAGCCTGGCCTGATAGCCGAAATGATTAATTGGAACAGTTAGTTTCGAATCCCATATTAAGATCACATTAAACGGCATATAACTTAAACAATCTAACAACCACCTCACCTCATCATCTTCATGATGATGTGTGTGTTACAAATAAGTATCTTGCTCGTAACAATGTTCAAACAATATTGTTGCAAACTTGAAACTTCATATTTAACATAACTATATTGCAGCGACATTGTTACAAACTTGCCTCATGCATTTGAAACAGCAATTTAGAATCAAACTTGCCCCAAGTTAGCATGCTATCTGGGTACCAATTTAAAAAATCGTCAATAAAATGATTAATTTATGTAACAGTTTTAAAACATAACTGAAGTATGTTTTTCTATTAATTTCATCAAATCGTAAGAGGTCATTGAACTCCAGCCGTAAAGTCGATATGGTCGCGTGGTGTGTAGGTACAAGGAAACCACACCACGCACGACTGAATTAAATCGACCTTTGCATCCATTTAAATTGTCATTATTAGTTTAAAAAAACATTACCGATACAAATTTTGAAATTTAAAACATTTAGAGCTTGAAAGCATGAAGCATGAAGAACCTTTATGCAATTGAGTGTTGAAGTTCCTAATTTGTTACATTAACATGATCAGCCCCTTTACTCTGGAACGCACTAGCGACACTGCAATGAGGAAGTCAGTGTTGTTATGGATCTGACTAATATCAAGTTGAAATTTAACTAGTTCGAGCTATGCAAACGCAACTCGATTAATACAAAGTAATTTTTGAATAAATTTCCTTTTTTGTGCATAGAGGAAAATGCAAAATTAACATAATAGAAATGAGCACAGAGGTTTTTTTAAATTTATGATAATCAATTGCATCAATGCTGTGATATAATCAAAAGTGGCATTTAGCTACGGTATATAATAATATTACCTCCAAATAGTTTTTATAAATAAAATACTTATGCCTGTATGGCACTTATTGATGGCAGTACAGATTGTACAATCAAAGACTACAGTGTACACAGACTTAGTAGGTAAGTAGGTAGTGACAGTATATAATAGGGAGATGTAGGATCTACATGTCAATGAGGAAGTATTTAAAAAATAAAAATTAGTTCTTGAAATCATACTAGATGTCACTCGCGAGTTTTGGATTTTGTTTATGATATTCATTCAAATTTTATTTCTGACGTAATAAATGTAAATTGAGTATTTTTGATTAATAAATATGACATCGTTTTGTGTTTCTTATAATGTCTCACTTTCAAACTAATTTTAATTTATTTTAATTGTAAGTTTAAGTTGTTTATTATGTTACGTGTAAAGGAACGATGTTTGGTTGATACGTCAACATTAGTGATGAGCCAACTTATTGGTTGCTCGTAACTTTCGTCGAATTCAGGTTTGGAATGGAGAACAAAAATGATGATGAAGATGAAGTGTCATTATGCATCCACAAAACGAATGATATTAATATAAATATCAAAATCAATTCAATCTAGACTGTTACATAGTACTTGTGAAAGTCGAAAACTTTACCAATGGTTCGCAAAACTAAAGCGGGAGATCTCTTACTGACAAGAAACGGCAAGAAACTCAGCAAGGGCTGCTTTTTTAATTTCAACTAAACAACTCAACTATACTATATTTGAGGGATCGTAACCACCTAACGCACACGATACCACTGCAGAGATTTTAAGAGACCATAACAACTCTAGGTACTTAGTTAATATTATATTTCAATAAAACGGATTTCTAGAGTAGGTTGTGTAGGAATTCAAATTATTATTAACCAAAACGAACAAACCCGCCGTACGAATTAACTTAACACATGGCTCGACGTCCGCCGTCGACATGCAAGATCAGTAGCAATATAATAACTGTACGTGTCTTTGACATTTGAAATTTAAAGTTACAACCTTGCTGTTCGTTTAGAGCAGACGTTTCTTGTTAATTGCTGAATGTTTATTAAGATGATTTAATTATGAATATAAGATTTAATAACTGATAATAGTTTTATAAAGTCTTAATTTCGAAACCACAAGTTATTTGCACGTTACACTTTGCACAAACGTCATTTTAGCCAGCAGTTATGTTATTTTGTACGAATATATAGTATATTTGATACATATCGGGTAAGTTTATAGATAATAAACGGATTTTTCTTAAAAATTATTGTTTTTATGACTTTTGTTGCTGATTAATAAACCCTATTCATTCATTCACCATACATAATATAAAAAAAATATTGAGAATTGATGTAGTTTTGTTGTTGTAAGTTCAACAAACAACTAATAGCAATAAAACTAACTTACCTAGTTGTTATTTTTTCAGAACTTTTGTTAAATATTAAAATGAAAATTCCTAGACCTACTATGACATAAGTACCTATTTTATTTATAAAACGTAATTTTATTGTATACCGTAGTTAGATGCCACTTTTAATTATATCACAGCATTCAATTGATTTCCATAAATTTAAAAAGCCTCTGTGCTCACTTCCATTATTTTAGTTTCCATTTTCCTCTATACAAATAAAAAATAAATTTATTCAAAGATTACTTTGTATTAATCGAGTTGCGATTGCATAACTCGAACTAGTTAAATTTCAACTCGATATTAATCCAAGTTATCAGATCCATAACAATACTAACAAATCTATTCTCTTTGGTTTAACGTCATGAATTGACGTTTAGATCCAACAATTTGTGCTGCCATCTAGTAACATAATTTTTTGTAGTTTCTTTATTTTTTTTAAATACTTCCTCATTCATGACATCAAACCAAAGAGAATAGAATTGTTAGTGTTGTTATGGATCTGATAACTCGGATTAATATTTAATTGAAATTCAATTAGTTCGAGTTACGTAAACGCAACTCGATTAATACGAACTAATGCATCAAAAAATTTTTTTTTTATTTGTATAAAGGAAAATGGAAACTAATATAAAGCAAGTGAGCATAAAGAAGGTTTTTTTTAAGTTATGGAAATCAATGGAAGTAATGCTGTGAAATTATTAAAAGTGGCATTTAGCTACGGTATACAATAATATTACCTTTAAATAGTTTTTATAAATAAAATACTTATGCCATAGTAGATCTAGGAATTTTTCATTATAATATTTTACAAAAGTTCTGAAAACAATAACAACAAGGTAACTTAGAATTGTTGCTATTAGTTGTTTTTTGAACTTATAGCAACAAAACTACATCAAGTCTCAATCATATTTTTATATTTAGTGTGGTGAATGAATGAATAGGGTTCATTAATCAGCAACCAAGGTCGTAAAAACGATAATTATAATGAAAAATCCGTTCATTATCTAAATACTTACTCGATATGTATCAAATATACTAGGAATTCGTACTAAATTACATGACTTCTGGCTAGAATGACGTTTGTGTAAAGTATTACGTGCCAATAAGTTGTCCATTCGAAATTACGAATTAAAAAAACTATGATCAGTTATTAAATCTTATAATTATAATTAAATCATCTTAATAAAAATTCAGCAAGCAACAAGAAACGTCCGTCCGAAACGAACACCAAGGTTAAAACTTTAAATTTCAAAATCACCTAGACACATACAGTTAGTATACTATCGCTACTGAACGTGCATGTCGATGGCGGGTGTTACCTTAATTCGTACGGTGGGTATTTTGGTTCTTACAATAATATTGTTAATAATAAATTGACTACCTACTCAACCTACTCTAGAAATCAGTTTTATTGAAATATGTTACTAATCTAGTACCTAGATGCTCTCTTAAAAATCTGCGGTGGTATCGTGTGCGTCGGGTAGTTACGTTCCTTCAAACATAGATGAGCGAAGCTATGGCTGACTCAAGCTCGTCAACGAGTGGGGGTGAGTCTGCACTGGACTACTTAATTTTGTCTATTTTTTTATTTTTAAGGCGGGCGTATTGGAGTAACAATGTCACATCACTAAAAGGAAGTAACCATAGAGGAGTAAGATTGATCAAGATGGCTCTTCTTCGTGTGCTGTGTGTGTTAAGTTGAACGATGTGAGTCTAAATGTTAAATAAAGAAATATATGCTGAAGGTTGGTTTCTGTAATTCACTATCCTCCATCCATAACCGTCAACAGGGCGTATATATATATATATTGATTTGTCAATGAGTATGTAGGATTTTAGATATTGTAATTGAAAATGACTTCACAGTTTAATTAAGCCACATTCCAATAAAACTTC